TACTCAATTTTTAAAACCTGTATTTACAGATAACTTTAGCCTGCTTTGCTCTGACAAGACTAAAAAGCATGCAAGTTGCTCTGGAATCACCCTAAGGTCACTCCAGCACCGCTGCCCTTGGGTGTTTATTTACGTGGCCACTTTTCAGGGTAAATATACTGAAATTTACAAATCCCTCAGAGCTTTGTTTTTTCTACAGACACTATGCAAAAATCCATTCTCCAATTTACACACTGATAAAGTAAGGGTGACTAATGTGGATGTGGAATCTTTTGTGGCAGACTTTTGTTAGCAATCTTTCCTCAGTAAAACATACCCTCATCCAGAACACTGCAATATATGGTGGGTATAATTACCCATTAAGTGTGAAAGAACATGGGAAGCTGAGCATGTTTTGCAGCCTGAAGCAATCTGTTCATTATTTAGCTCTACTAGCCTGGGTCAGCCACTGCCTCTCACAACTGTTTGTCTTCTTGTCTACTGAGACCAGAAGATGTTTTAGACAAAGAACGAACAGGAGGTATATCCCTGCTGCTGAGTGGATACAGAACACAGTTTCTCACGCAGGACTAGCACAGTGTTGCAGCACCACAGGATGGATCCAGAACCACAGACCGCACAGCAATGCCCGGAGCCGTTCCCGTTTGCTCCGCTCTGCCGGGGCCAGCGGGGGCCGGCGCAGCTCCGAGCAGCGAGGCCAGGCCCCGCACACCGAGGGGCTCCGAGCCCATGGGCGCAGCCGGGGATGGAAGCGCTGGGCCAGCGGCAGCGCCGAGGGACGGCCAAAGCCCCAGGAGCCCTGAAGGGGTGCCGCAGGCCACCTCACCTCGCATCCCTTTACGCCTCAGGTGCCCCAAACGCAGGAGAGACAGGCGGTCTTACAGGCGAGGATCTCGAGGGTCTCCGCTGTGGGGACAGCCGCTCTCTCTGCGTGACTCCCACACGCCCACAGATGCCAGCGGGGCTCCTTCTCCTCACCCAGCGCTCCCAGCTCCCGGGCCGGCAGCGGGCGCGCCGCGCTCACCGCCGCCCCTGCGCTTGCAAGCGCGCACTGCGCTTGCGGCTCCTCACCTGAGCCTCGGTATTCCAGCGCTGCCTGGCGCCTCCCGGTTCGCCCGCCGGGCCCGCCCTCCATGGCCGGCGCAGAGCGCGGCCGGCCCCGGGGCGGGCTGAGCCCCGGCGGCTCCACGGCTGCAGCTACAGATCTGTTTACGAAACAAACTCCAAAGGGAGGGGTACCCAAGGGGGGAAAAAAAAAAAAAAAAAAATGCTGCGGGAACACGCCTGGGCATCGCCCGTGTCCCGTGTGTGTCGCAGGTGTTTCCTGTGCAACTACAGATCTGTTTACAAAACAAACTCCAAAAGGAGGGGTACCCAAGGGGGAAAAAAAAAAAAAAGTATCCACAGCTACTTGTTGCTTGAGGCATTTAATAATTTCTTTCTTTCTGCTGGTCTTCTGATAAGCACAAACCCCTCTCAGACACATACTGATTATTTTCAATCTAAATCAGACAAATATTTATGTACCTGCAATTTTTTCAAGACCTTTCCCACCCCAAAAACAACCAAACTGACATGAAACTTGTCCTTTAATTACACATTTTGGACTTCGGATGTTTTGGATTTTGGGTTCTCTCATCTCTCCGTATCTTACACCCTGCCCTGACAATTGTTTTTTTACAGCTGAGGGAAAAATCTTAACTGAAACACTGCAGCCTAAGCGCTCGCTGCACAAGAGTAGCAGTACTCGTTTTTAGAGTGAACAGCCTCAACAGACCATCAGTAGTTGAAAATTGTGGAGAGCAGGGACAAAAGGACACCATCCTACTGCTCCATTTGTGTTTCTCCTGGGGTGCACACCCAAAGCTCAGAGTTCCACATCACACAGATTCCTGGGTACATCTGGTTTTCCCAATACTCTTCAGAGGATCTGATGTAGAGTGCATATCTGCACATCTATGATGATTATTAGTGTTTGTGCTTTTAATTTGTTCAGTTGTTGTAACCTTCATGGCATTACTTTAAATTTAGGACAGAGAAAAGTTCTTCTTAGAAATAGCACTCAAATATGATTGCTACCTAAAAATTTGGCTCTCATGTCTTATCATAAAATAATAAATTATACTTAGAAAATAATGATATAAATATTTTTTCTTTATAACACAAAGATAATTCTTCGCATATAAAATATAATTGAAATTGTACATACATTGCAGCCTTGGTAGCTAGAGACTTTCTTTAATATCTGGTTTTTAGTTGTCTCAGAACACCTGATATGAGAAAGGGATTGAAGCATCATGAGCTCTTAGATGTTATCCTGGGATCCTGAATAGGATTAATAACCTCAAGAGTGGAAGTTCAAATGTTTAAGATCCTTCAGAAAGCATACAGCTTCAATTTTTCTTTTCACAATTCTATTTCTAACATTTTATATATATTCATATTTTACTTTCATAGCACCTCTTGATATCCAATAGTTTTTAATGGGAGAATAAAAAATGCAGACAAAACCATTAAATACAATAAAAAATGAAGTCTTTATTCTTTTGGCTCAACTGTAATGTGGTTTACTGTTCTTTATGGTAATAGCATTTTCCTGCATGCAGTTCACCGACACACAAGTCAATATTTTTGTAAAAGGAGGAGTCAACATCGAATTTTTGCTTGTGTAAGAAACACAAAATGTCCTGATGTGATCAATTATACAAGTTTGCTATTTAATTCCTGTGGAAAAAAAAAACATTGTGGATCCCATATTATATTTAGAACAGTTCTAGTGCAGCATGAATCAACAAGAATAAGAATAGTCTATGTAAACAAACACTGGTAAAGATTTCATGAATAAAAATACTACCTTGAAACTTCTGATGCAGGCAGTGCTAGAATCTTAAACAAATCCTCCCCACCACATTTCAATTACAAGTTATATCTATTTGGAAGCAAGTGCATTTTGGACTCAGTTTGAAACTTATTTCACATTAAAATGTGTGCAAAAATACAGTACTAATAAAAAAGCAGAAACCTAAAGCTACCCCATTCTTTCCTTTGTTTCTTATATTGTGAAGTTCTTGAATTAAAAAGTGCTATGGATAGAAAGTAATAAAAGTGACAGTAACATCAACCTGAAGATAATTCTCATTTCTTATTTTATGTACAAAATGCTGAAAAATAAAATAAAATGGTATTTTTTACAGTATTTATATTTTCTTAGAAAATTCTATCCATGTAGTTTTCAACAGATTAAGCAGTTTGCAACATATCCCGTACAGTCTATGCACCGTACAGTAGTCACTTAAAATTTTAGAATGCAAAGCAAGAAGCTCTTAAATAACTGCAAACTATTGCTTGATGTTGTGAAAGAATGATGACCAATTGAACAATTTATTTCACTTAACCACTGAGCTATGGCTTCCCATATTAGACTCTTAACAGTGGAAGGAGTAAAATTACAGCAGCAAAGGCAAGATAAACATGCATCAGTGATAGCTTCCAAACTGTCTATAATGGTACAGAATACTTCATATTAGCTGTTGAGAGATTGCAAATTACACTTACTGTGGTACATATTTGATGCAATAAATATTGTGCACATGTCATTATTTGTTTGCTCAAACATGCACCACGGGATAAAATAACTATTTACATAGAGGGTACTTTTTTAATCAACACATACAATGTCAACCTTGCTGAGAGCAGAAGATGGCTAAATGATACTGCAGGGTGAGGCAGAACAACTTCATAATCCTTGTGTTTTGCAGGTTTTTGGTAAATTCAACTTCCCAAGGTCAGGTAAACTGGTTTCCGCAGAAGAATACTTAGAAGTAGATTCTATGTCCCTCGGTAAAATTTTTATACAGAGATTGTTCAACTACTGTTAAATGACTCATGAAAAAATAAAACATCTGTTCTATTATTGTAGACTCTATGGGACTTTACAGGCACATTAAGATTTGTCTGGATGAGATACTAGATGGATACTGTTATTAAGCACCTCAACATACAGAGCCACCCTGAAACATGGAAGTAGTCAGACTGCTGCTTTGTGCGACGTCATGTTTTCCCATGCATGAACTACAAGTGCAGCATGCCTTCATGCAAATCACTTCTGTTTGTACATTATAGAGAATCCGAGAGCAGAACACCTGGTCCTCATACCCCCTTCCCCAACATAAAACCCATTTACAAAAATAGTCACATATAATAGTAAACAACCTGTGAATTAAAAAATGATAAGTTCACCAACACTGATTTTTGTAAAAATATGGCAAATGTGACTGTTGAAATGCTAACAGTGGATACAATTTTTGTACTGTGTGTTTCATGTTAAACACAGAGATTCATAGGTTTGCACCTTTTTTTTAACTGGTCCCTACAGTCTGGTTGGCCATTTTATCATCTCTTCAGCAGTGTCAGCTGGTACTAAAAACAACAACCTCCTGTCAAGATGTTACCCTGTTTTACAGAGTTGCAGTTTGATGACAAGGGGTCACTGTCTTGCTATAGGCACTGACCTTATATATATATAATTATATATATATCTATATATGTAAAAACTGACAGTTTGGCATGTACCTCCTACAGGAGTCCTGTTGACACAAATACATACTTTTTCAGGCTGTAAACAGTTTATTACAAACAGTATTCTACATTACTTTTTACTTTCCCTGCTGTCTTTACCTTTATCTTCTTTTTCTGACTTGTCTTTTTCATATTTATCCTTGTCTGGCTTTGTTACACTGTCATAAGAAGGTGGGGAGGTTGTGGATGGGGTCATATCTGTTTTTTCTGGAGTGGAGTTCTCATTTAGTTTATCCATAATTAAGTTAAATCAGTAAAGAATATTATTACATTTTAAAACCACTGCTAAAGATATATTCTACAAGGATTGTAGAACTTTAAGAAGTTATTTTATGTACAAGACTTTCTAGTGACAAAGTTGAACCAAAATATAAATAGAGTTTACATGCCAAAAATATTTCTATGTTCACACATCAGACATTTCATAAAAATGAGTTGCTCTTACCTACTATGGAGAGAATGACAACCACAAAATCAAAAATATTCCAACCTATAGTAAAGTAGTAATGACGAAGTGAAATCAATTTCAGGACAAATTCTCCAGTGAAAAGTACAATAAACACCAGGTTAATCCAATATAAAATGTTTTCCATTTCTTCACTCTGGTCATCTGTTTCTACCATCATTGTGACCATGTTAAGGCAGATGAGTATCATGATACTGATATCAAATGCTTGTTTTGTTACAAAATCAAAGACCATGCCTTGGAATTTGTTCTGTTATAGCAGAAGAAAAAGAAAAAAAAAGGTATTTCAGATTAATAAGGCTTTTCTTACATAACGTAATTTTTTTGCTTATGACTTATTTCAGCCTAAGGCATAATACAAAAAATAAGCTTTTTAAATAGATGCAAAAATAACAGAAAATATTTTTATTCTTACTGCTGGTCGAGGTATAGGCTTTTGTGGTTTCTTGGAACCCAATTTTTTCATTGCATTGTAGTATTTCTTCTGTTCTTCTGTCATGAAAATGTCTTGACCTCCAAAGTAAACCCAAGAGACAAAAACTGGTTACAATCATGTATCTTTACTGATTACTTATAAATAATATTAATGATCACTCTTGTTCACATTCGCATCTGTAGGAAAATTTAGGACAGATATAAAAATCCTGTTTTATGATTTTTATATTAAGTATTAAGCTACAGAAAGTGTTGAGTTCAGCAGCTGGAACACTGATACTTTTTCAGGCAGTGTTGACAAAACACAAAGACTAAAGAGGGTACGAATAAAGATAATACAATGTTTATTATCAAAGTTCAGAAATCTATACTGCTGAGCTCTGTGACATGAAAGTATAGCAAAGAGTTTTTATAGCCACATTTAGCTATTTCAGTGGTTAGCCTTTTTATGAGTCAATTAAGGCTTCAGTCACAAATCCATATCTTTACAAAGATCACATTGAGTATTTCACTAACCATGGAGAGTCATAGATTGTCACTTGTCCATCAAGCCCTCATCAAGCCAAATTATAAGCTTTAATAATTTAATGTATTTACTATGCAGTGCTCTTAACTAATTTATCATTAAAAATTATTAATCAAATTGTCATCAGTGGACCAAAAATAAGAATTTTTTAATATTCTTTTCAAAATAACAATGAAGTACTTATCTTCTTTTTCTGCTGGTTGAAATTGTCTATGATGACACCAATAAAAAGGTTTAAGGTAAAAAAGGATCCAAAGATGATAAAGATGACAAAGTAAAGATACATGTACAGGTTATCTTCATACTTGGGCTGATCCAAAACCTGCAAAAAAGGCATAGAAATGACACATTAGTTTAACAGTGAACACTGTTAAAGATAGAATTTAGGGCTCCATCACTGTAACCTTTGGTTCGTGTGGTCAAATCCTGACATATATTTCAGTGATCTTCAATCTACAAGAAGTTACATTCTTGAAATTAATTTTTAAAAATGAAACTGACCTGTACGAATGTAGAATAAATACTGAAAACACAATTGGTTAAAACTAGCAAAGTTCCACTTGCCTGAGTGTACAGACAACCAGAAACACCAAGTTTTATGTCTGCAGAATTTTCTGTAAATCTTCTGGGAGGCCAGTGTTGTGGGCTTTCACTGCTACAGGCACTTAGGAAAGTGCACAGGATTGTGGAAGAGAGGTATCCAAGCCATGTTTAGACTAAGCATATTTTCTTGGTATAGCTATGCACTATCACTATACTACAACAGGCCTCCTGCTGTGAGTGCAGCTTACAAAAAAAAAAAAAAAAAAAAAAAGGAGCTTTACCAGTATAGTTTATTCAATTGTCTACTTAGAACTAGAGGAAAACTTGCAGCAAGGGAACAAGGGGCAGGCCAAAGGGTAAGAAAATGCAGAGGTCTAATTAAAAATAAGCACTCTGCCCTAAAGAAAGCAGTCAGGCAGCTTGCAGAGTACAGTGAAAATCTTAACTATAAATAAGATCAGTATTACAAAAAACCCCAAGTTTCCCTGTATTGGTGTCTGTTTCCAAATATAAAGAATGGCACAATGCATGATGAAAGGAGGGAAAGGTATTTCATTGCAATAGGTGAGTGTGCTGGTGTGTTGTAGGATTGAGGAATTTTGATTCAAGTGTACCATGGAGATAATGGAATCCTTTAGCACTGCTCCTCTGCTTTCCTTATTTCTTGTATTGTCCCCATGGTTTCAATTTTCTTTAACTACAAAATTATAGTAACTCTTTGTTCTTTCATTGTTACTGTAATTGCTGAAAGATGTTAAAATTGCATTCTCAAATCTTGGAGCTCATACAATCAAAACAAATGGAGTCAAGGGACTATACTCACATTCCGAGAATCCACAGCTGCGTACATGATATCCATCCATCCTTTAAATGTAGCCTATAAACAGAACACAGGTGTTTAGGTCACACTTCTGGAAAATGACTTGTCAGAAGCATTTTTTAGGAGCTGAAAACTAAGTGTCTTTAGTACTCATAATGAAAACCAGTGGAGTGAAATCCTAATAGCTGACTCTTGCCTTCTATTGTATGTTTTATTCATGTACAAGAACTGCAATCCAGTTCTAATATCTGACTATAGAGGAGACAGCATCCATTAAGAACTTTTGTCTATTACAAATAATATCTGGTGTAAAAGTTATTTTTTCTGTGCATGAGCATTAGAGGTTTATTTGACACAGATTCAATGCAGTTAAGGTGTATTAGGTTTGAATTACATTTTTTCCTCATAGTCAGTATATCCTCTAGGCTTTGTGTTACTTCTTCTGTAGAGTCATGAATTTGTCCCACACTTCATGACTCAAATCAAGAATTGAGAGACAAAATTTCTAAATAATAAATAAAAGAAGTAAAATCTTTTTACTGTTACAAGTAAATAATAGAGATATAGAAAGATAAATAGAAATTAAGGACTGGTGACTTACCACTTGGAGCAGAGAAAGGTAACCAAGGCCTACGTTGTCAAAGTTAACCTTCACGTTCTTCCACCGGGCAGTTTCATTGTTTTGTATGAGCTCCTCACATTGACTAAAGTTGTTAATTTGGCTGATATCAAATCTCTCATCAGTTGTAGTGTTAACACAGTAGTAAAACTTTCCAGCAAATAGATTTACTCCCATGATACTAAATATCAGCCAGAATATAAGGCAAACAAGAAGCACATTCATAATAGATGGAATTGCTCCTAACAGGGCATTCACCACAACCTGAAGTACAAATGAAACCAAAGAGAGACACTGTAAGAGCACAGACACCAGGATTTTACAAATGCTTCATCAGCCTCTCTCACATGTAACATGCTATTATATTTCTAATATCTGTGTTACACTTCAATTGTTAAGAGCAACAAGTCAGAAAAGCAGTATAGAGAAAAGATAAAATGCCAAACTTAATTAGAAGGAAAAATACAAATAGTAGCAAATGGTAGCTTTAAAGAATGGGTAAAATAAGAACCAGTAAAACAAACTTTTTAAAAAAAGAGGAAAAAGAAGTATTTATCAGTGCTTTTTAGAATATTTACTTAATGTATACCTGCAAAATCATAACAATTATAATCACTGATTGAATCAAACAAACTAAAGTTTCAATATTACATGTTTACGGGATAAATCCAACATGTTCAAATCTATTACTGAGCAAATTTCTAATTGAAATTAACTTTGAGTCTTTTTGAAAATAAAACCAAGTGATGTATGCATGTTCCTTTGGATCTTTACATTTAGAATTAGAAATATAGAAATGCTCAAACAAGGAAAGCTACTGAGTACCTGAACACACCAGAGCTGTTACTGTTCAGGCAACTGGCAGATAAAACTTGAAAAAGAGACTTAATTCCCAACTGAATTTTGGGAAAAATAAGGCTTCAGGAAAGAAAAATGTGAAAATGAGTTCATGTGTGATGATGAGCAATGATTAAAAACATGCTAGAATGAAAATAAAACACTGAGGAAAATGAAATTTGGGAGAAAGTAGGTCCATTATGAATGAGAATTATTAATTTAATGATGGAATTGATGATGCTAAATTAATGAATTCTGATTTTAAATCTCTCTGTAAACAATTCTAAGAATATAAAATTTGGTAAGTATAGAGCACTGCCACCAACTTTGCCAAAACAACTGAAGCAGATCCTTAAAGTTTGCTTTTCTTTTAAATGCAAAACAGTGGCTATTACTTTGATGGGCTTTTTAATATTTCATTTAGCTTATATGATGTAAGTACAAGGGCAGATCCTCTAGCATAATAAACTTATTGTTTCTTTTTGAAATACAAATATATAATGAAGCTCTATAGAAACAATGAATAATAAAATTAGTGATCCAAGTAGATGGGCTTTCATTCCTTGCCCTCTTACAGAACAGAAAATAAACCCTTTGAATATTAGATCCGTGATGAAACACGATCATGTGCACTATAAAGGAGAATTGGGCTGAAGGAAATGAGGGGTGCCTGTTGGACCTTCAGGGCTCCATTCCTGTCAAAACTCTACCTCTTTTGGGTGATACATACTTTGGGCAACCTTTGAGAGCCTATAGGACTTCAGTGAAATTGTTGTTATATTTAAATTTAGGATCTAGATCAAATGAAGTTGCTTTCAATGTAAACTACTTCATCCCTCTATAAAAGCACAAAATGGTGCATGAAGTCCAAATATTCCGTTCTCTTTTTTTTGTTTGTTTGTACCTTTTTTTCCACATATTGTAAATCAAATGTTTTAATAAGTGATTATTTCTCGTGGGAAAATTTAAAACAAATCAGAACAATTTCTTAATCATACTAAAAACCGTCTTAGCAATAACTTATAAATTAATAAACAAAAGTAATGTAGAATTTTATAAGTCAGTATCTGGGTTGAGAAGATTCCCTAACTGGTGGATAAATCTCTTCTGATTATTTCAACAGTGCTGTCTTATGCTGACAAGCTTGTACTCAGCACTGTGAGCCACATGATTGTAGGAGGCCATAAGATGTTGTTTGACCTTAGCAAATGAACAGCCTATATAATGATGCTGAATTAGTTTAAATTGGAAAATCAGGTACTCACTTATTTTATTTTTACAGCAATTTGAGTGGAATAACAAATGGCAAGGTCATTTTTTCTCAATTTGAGAATATTTTCCAAATGTATTAGGGTTTTTTTAAATTGAAAGTTATCTCAATTCTTCTACTCAAAAAATATAAGTAGCTTTCTTAAATGCAATAATATCATCCATCAGGAACAATTCTTGAGATATAAAGGGATAGTTAATGAAGTGAAAATATTTGTCCTCAAGCTTTCAATCTCAGTATACCCAAGAATTCTCTTCCTCTTTGTGCTCCAGCTGCAGGTCCAGTCATGTTCTTTCTTTAATTGCTGGATTTCTACAGCTGACCTACTTTCTCTGGTATTAGTCTGAGTCCTGAAGCTACAGAGAACCAGCTTGTGATACGAATATTTGAAGACGCTCAAAACATAGGGTTGAGCATCCCTGGAAACACTGATCCTGACACCTTCCAGCTTCCACTAGTAGTAAGTCTGTGAGAAAAGGGGGCTAGGCCTGACAGAAAATGAAAGCAGGGGAAGCATAAGAAAGACATCAAACCCCTTGTTTTCTAGTTGAAAGAAAAAGGTATTAGTGTCTAGCACCATATAGCAGTGAGTGATACCACTTGGGACAGAGCATGGGCAGATTAATTATATTCCCACAGATTAATTAATCTGCACGGGCAGATTAATTATATACCAAGTGGAAATTAAAGTATAACTTTCCTAGCAATAACAGTGGTGGGAAGATGCAGGAGAAAAAAAATAATGTTTTTCATAGGGGCAATTTTTTTCTATTAATTACTAGTTTGAGTGGGCACAAGCCGAAATCCTAGAGAATAGTACAGTGTCTTAAAAACTGTACATGTATTGAATGGAATTTCCTGCTTGCATATGGGAAGTATAATGCTCAATGGAAGCAATTTAGAGTGTCTATGCAAATATATGCATTGTACTGTACTGTCATATTTTCAGTTCATACAAGATAAACACCAATGGAATGATTATGTTGTGAACAGACATCTTGAATTTCCATGTATCAGACATTAAAATGTTCTCATACTAATCTCTTCATCAACTTGTGCTACTGCATCTTTAAAAACACTAAACTTGGAATTAATTACTTTAAATAAGGCAAAATTCACTACATCCATTGGAATATTTCAATGGTTAATTGCCTAACTAATGAAGTTATAGATCACATTTCTAGTCTTAAGTAATCTAACTTCATTTAGTACTTTTTATTGCATTTTTTGCTAAACTCATAAATCTTCTCCTCATCTGGTTATTGTACAAAGAGATACAGTTGGCAGATCAGGATCAAATCCGCAGGTAAATTTTATACCAACATGGAAGTTATGGGATTGACAATTACACATAAACCTTCATTACAAGGTTATTGGGTTTTTCCTTGCAACAATAAATTGCCACTTAAGGAATTTTTTATAAAATTTGAAATATTTTTATTTTGGGTTTTTTGTTTTGTTAATTGTTGTCATAAAAGAAACCCCTACAGTTCATATGATTTTAGTGAGATAATACTGATGGTTTAGACAGGCCTTACCTTGATATAAACATCCCAAATTTTCAAGTTTGCTTTAGTAAAGGTCCAGAAATTTTTTGGAGGCAAAGAAATGCTATTTCCTGTTTGAATTTATAAAATTTCATCAAAGCCCATTTCCTTTTTCATTGAGAGCTCTTACTTTCCACACACAGAGCATGACATTTTCTTCAGAAGCTCACCAGTTTGAAATTGACTTACAAATTAGCTAATCAGCTTATCACCTGGGGTGGCAAAGAATGTGATCCCAGGAGGGAGCTCACACAAGGATCCCTTTTAATTATGGCAGGAGGGTTCCAGTTCAGGTGCATCTGCTGATGCCCACTATGGCGGTATGTCCAAGAGAGACAGATGGACCCTGAAGGTGTAAGCCAGACATCTTCCTGTGGCTGGACCTAGAAATATCTACCGTGTCTGGTTGTTCACTACTACCCTTGAGAGAAACATTTCTAGAGCTTTTGAGTCATGGCTGAGTACATCAGGTCTTTGTCCATATCAGTGCACTAAAGAAGTGATTTAAACTGACCACTTTGACTGACTTTGCACTGAGACAGACTGAATGTGCCCTGTTGGGCAGCTGAGGGTCTCGGCTGTGGTAACTGATACAGTGATAAGGAACACTGGGGACAGTAACTTCTCAAATATACCAGCAAAAGTCTAATATGTTTTCAGGCTGCTTAGTGCTCTATAGATTATAATCAAAATTTTACAATCAATACAGAAACCAGTAAGCAACCAGAAATCATGAAACCAGCTCCATCTCTGATATGCTAGAAAAGTTTTCTTAAATAGAATGCTATGTTCTAATATGAAAGAGAGAAGTAAATTAGCACTATTTTAATAGTGCTAATTTACTTATTAACATACAAATTAATTACAAAACTTTTAGTTCTAAAAGATATTCCCAATTTATATATACTGAATAATATGTTAAATGATATAGGCTATGTATGGTAGTCTAAACTGATAAAAAATACATATGTGCTTGCATACACGGGTGTATGTGCACACACTTTTAAGAGGAAGTATTGGAGCTTTTTTAAACTGTCCTGACTATAGAAGGTTGTGTTTGTATAGGATAAATGCAGTAATATTGCATAGATCCATGCAGTTGATAAATCCTTGGGCCCTCCATGAAAATATGAAAATGGGGAAAGGCCAAGGAGTGTCGTTAACTGTAACAATATGTGCCATAACACATGAATTCATATAAGCAGATGAAGCCTTTTGCTTATATGTTAGTGATAAATGTGAAATATATAGGATGGTAGTGTAGCATTTCTGCATGGATTGGTTGTTGATTATTCTGCATGCATTGTGTCCGTGGATGCATGCATTATTTCAGATTCTTTCACGTTGTCTTACCCTCATCCCTTCAAATCGCGACAAGGCTCTTAGAGGTCTCAAAGCTCTTAGTGTCCTAAGGGATTTAATCGCACCAAGTTCTGAGTAGCCCAAGGCATTAGCTGTTAAGCTAACCAAAGAGACCTACACAAAAACAGAAAGGCAATATTGCTCATTCATCTTTATATCCTTCCGACACATATGGTGGGAATGATGTGTGCCCTGAACTTCTCAAGAAGATTCAAGGCTGGACCTCTTTCTCCAGGAAACCCTCTATAATGCAGAAAAAATTTTACGTCAGACAAAGTAGAATAAAAGGATATTCTAGGTACCTGTTGATGAAATCATGTTGATAGAATGGTATATAAGTGCCTTCTATAGTCACATAAACCAGTCAACATTTGGTGGGATTTAAACAAAAATGAAGTCACATGCTAAAACAAAACACCCAAAAGCTGGGTGAATAGGAATGGACAATTTAGGTCAGGACTTCCCATGATATCTTCAGCACTTGATGAGAATGTAAACGCTCTCAAAAACCACATCCAGACCTTGCTTTTGGTCAAATGTAACTTTCTAGTGTCCAGAAAATCTTATTCAACAGCCATAGCTACCAGTGCTGTTCAGATTTAACCGGACTAATCAAGATTGAGAACCAACTGTTTGTTAGACAATGGTAGAAGCTTCACTGTTAGGCATATCCACACTTCATTACATTCCCTGTGACTCCTTTAACCACTTCATCATTTCTGGCTTGCATAACGCTGGTCTGGTCTGCAGGCAGATGAGTAAATAAACTAGAATAGCTGTAAAATAAATAATACAATTATCTTTCATCAATAATCCTTGGAAATGTATTTCTTATAGCCATTGGGAAGGAGTGGCCCTAATAAATAAAAAATAAATCATCTTCTCTTTATGTCCATTTAATGCCCTTCCCTTCCATCCTTCCTGTTCTCTCAATTCCTTCATCTCCAAATTGTTCTTTTTAATTTTTATTTCAATCCCCTGACTATAGGTTCAAAAGAATGCTTCAGATATTAATTTTTTTAATTAAAAAATTGCACCAAGGTAAGGTTGACATGAAAAACTAATAAAGCTATTTATAAGGGTCACAGAAGTAACTAAACCACAGATTATCAAATAAGAATTAAATATTTGTTGATAAATACAAGTTCTACTGGTCATGGCAATGTACACATTGGATGATTGAGCCAATACATGTTTTACAGAGGTACAGACTGAATCATAAAATACTATATGAGCATATAGCCATGTCTTATCATAGGATTTGCAATGCTGGTCTGGTATAGTATAAGGTATAGTGTTTTCCAAGCTCTGTGTAGTAAAGACCTCCTGATCCATCACTGTGTTTTTAGGGAGATATTTAGCAATTACTGTAGAATTCTGGTGCTTTTTATAATGCACAAATAGGTGGTTTAAGACATACTCTTAACTTGCATTCCTTAACATAGGAATTACATCTGTGGAACTGAGAGGTAAATCAGACTATACAGAATTATAAACCATACCACCACAGCAGTTAAAATAGAGTTTTTGTTGAATAGAACAGAAATCTTATCCTGAAAACATAATATTCTTTTTTTTTAAGCCTATTGTACAGGACATGAAAAAGAATACATACATCAACAATCAGGAAGTCCAGCCAGCACCATGCATTAGTGAAATAGGTTTGAAAGCCATAAGCAACCCATTTTAAAAGCATTTCCAGAATGAAGATATAGGTGAAAACTTTGTCAGCATATTCCAGCATGGTCTTGATAGTTTTACGTTGTTCTATGTAGATATCTTCAAATGCCTGTGAAAAAGATTTTTGAAGATGTGATTAAATGTCTTCGCAATTTGCAGTGTCATATAGGAATGGCCAGGAAAAAAAATTAATTGAAAGAAACCCATGATGATAAGGCATGTATCTTTCCCTCAAGCATAACTTTGGCTTTCACTTAATACTTTTTATAAAGCTGGGTCCAAGCAATATTCATCTTTCAGCTGAACTGAACATCAATACACAGAACTTACTGTAAGTCCACTCTTCAAACTTCATTTTAATTTGTTTCCATGGATAATGTTTGTGTGGCCAGGTTTTGGTAGTGGGGGGAGCTAGAGAGGTGGCTTCTGTGGGAAACTCCTAGAAGCTTCCTCCATGTCCAGCACAGCCAATGCCAGCTGGCTCCAGGACAGACCCACCATGGCTGAGGCCAAGCCAATCAGGAATGATAGCAACACCTCTGTGACAATATATTTAAGAAGGAAATAAAAAAAAAAATTGCACAGGCAGAATTGCAGGTAGAGAAACTGGAGTGAGAACATGTGAGAAGAACAGCTCTGCAGATACCAGGGTCAGTGGAGGAGGAGGGGCAGGAGATGCTCCAGGCCCTGGAGCTGAGATTGCCCTGCAGCCAGCGGAGCAGATCATGGTGAAGCAGCTGTGCCCCTGCAGCCCATGGAGATCCACAGGGATGCAGAGATCCACATGCAGCCCCTGGAAGAGCCCCATGCTGGAGCAGGGCTATGCCCGAGATCAGGCTGTGAAACTGGAGCAGGCTTCTCACAAGGACCTGCAGACCATGGACAGAGGATCCTGTGCTGGAGCAGGTGGCCCAGTAGGACTTGTAGGACCATGAGGACTGGATCAGGCTGTGCCTGAAGGACTGCACATCATGGAATAGGGACCCACATTGCAGCAGTTTTTGGAGGACTGTTGCCTGTGGGATGGACTCACATCAGAGAAGTTCATAGGGCACTGTCTCCCATGACAGGGACCCCATGCTGGAGCAGGGGAAGGACTCCTCTCCCTGAGCAGTGGCAGAAACAATGTGTGATGAACTGATCGTAATGCACATTTCCTGTCTACCTGCACAGCAGGGGGAGGACTTCAGGCTGGGAAGGAGGGAGAGATGGGGTGAAGGTGTTTTTAAGATGGCTTTTACTTGTCATTATCCTGCTCTGATTTTGTTAACAATAAACTCAGTTAAAAGCCCTAGGCTGAGTCTGTTTTGCCTGTTACAGTGTTTGATGGCTGATCTCTCCTGGGCCTTATCTCAACCCATGAACTCTTCTTTCCCCTGTCCACATGTAGAATTACAGAGCACCTTTGGTGGGTACGTGGCATCAACTCACTACAGATAGCAAGGGCCTATTGAGATTAGGATTTCCTTTGTGGGAGTTACAGATTTATATTACATTTTTATGAGGGATTTTAAAATTACTGTGTGATACAGTAATTTTGAGGAAAAATTGAAACCAAACTATGTATACTAACTCACAAAGCAATCCTAAATAGAGATAACTGTCTTATCAAAAGAAAATGTATCCATTGACAGTGAATCACTGCATTGAGCCAAGTGTAGAAAGAATGTTACATTCTGCCCCTGCTATGAGAAACTAATTACTTCAATACCTACTCATTGCACTTGATTTAACACCAATCTGTAAAATATCTGATGGAATTGTGTTGGCACTTTCCTCCTCAGTTTGACAATTTGAGTTGCTGCTGATACGTTCATAGCTAAGCTGTGTTTTTATTTAAATGTGTGTTTAAAAAAAAGAAGCTATTATAATCAATATTAAGACATGTGAACACCAGTCTGATAAAATTAATTTCTTATTTCCATTAACACTACATTTTGAACTTACCAAACCATTTGTTCACAGCCCACAAGCAAATTCTTACATGTCCTACAATATATGCAAACGCTTGCAGATATATATTTATATTAGAACATACATTAATTGGATATCAAACTCTAATTTGTTACCTGTAGGTATGTGATTAACTGTAATTTTAAATGCTTGCTGTTTAAAATCACAATAGTCACAATAGTTCCACACTTAATTTACCAGAGCACCACTGCTGAGAAGAATCATGAAGACTATGAAGGTCTCAAACCAGTTATGTTCAACAATCTTATAGCAGGTTTTCCTAAGATTCCACCAGATTTTCCCCTTTCCTTCTTCTACACTGACTTGACAGCATTTGAATCTCCGTACACAACCTAAATGTGATAATAAATTTTGAGATGTCAGAATAAAATAAATATTTATTAGGAATCACAATGAATGGCAATCATTTGACTTATTTCTTATCATAGTTCTACTGCATTAGATCCTTATAATTCCTTTTTAAGCATTTTTGTTTAGTATTTGAATTTAAATCTTCATCTTATGCAATACTTCTAAAGAAACAGAGAAAACACACAAGAACAGTAAATCTATGGCAGTACCTATGAAAGAGTTACTAATACTAACAGATATTACAACTATAATCACTAAACTTTTTTGATTTTGAATAAAAAGAGAATCCTGCCCAAGTCTACACAACTAGGTCTATTTATCTTGCATTTATTTTGCTTTCCTACCTTCTGTGAAACAAGCTTCTGGTTCTAGAACTTCTTCTGGTTCTGCTTCTGGCTGTTCACCTTCTGGAGGTAGTCCAATATCAACTGTGCTGCCTTCTGATGAACTGGATGCATTCAATTTCTGTGAACGAAACCCCACATTATTTTTTTTTCAGTTTTATTATTTTGAATAGAAATTTATGTTGGAAATGTACACCAAAATATTTTGAATGTATTCAGTGCTGTGATACTAAAATAACTTCTTATCTGCAATTTCTAATGCCAAATTGCTCTGCTACAGGTGAGGTCACAAGATTAGAAACTACATAATGTGCATTTTCCCTATTGAAAATATTTTGATATTTTCATGCAAGGAATTGCTGAAATTACTAGAGTATTATTCTGAGCCACACATAAGAATTTTGAAGGGAAATTTCAGTAAGCTGAGAATGGGTGTTTTCCACATTTTGTACTGTTTAATTATTCCAATCATGTGGCTGCATTTTAGGTTACATTGTAGATAGCATGTGTTAATACAACTAAATTTCCAAAATCATGACCAAACCAACAGCAAGCTGCACAGATGTATTTTCATGCCTCAAGTAAATATTATTCTAGCAAGTCTGTAAAAAGCTAAATCAAAAGTTTTATTGTAATGTTTTCATTATTATTGACATGAAAACACATGTTATGAGTTTTATAGGATAATTTAATTATCTTTATTTCCAAAAGAGCAGCACATTACTCTAGGAGCAGTAGCTGATATTTTGCATACTCACTTGGCAATGCATTTTCTGAATTTATTGTGCATTTTGAAACTACTTATTACTTTGGTACAGTACACATAGATGTCCAATTACTATAAAAGGCCAAAAAAAATTTGAATTACTAAAGTCAAAACAAATTATTTTAAAACAATATTGTAAAAAAATAATACTGCATCAATAAATCATGCCAATATTATAATTCAACCTTAAAAATTATTCTTTCACACCATCATGTGATGCTGGCAACAGACAAATATGAGTACTATAATAAGTAAAAGTAGTTTGATTACAGCATTCTATGACTCTTCTAATGTTATCACTATGTGGAGTATAACATCAGTAAAATGGCTGCATTGATAAGTAGCTAATCTTATAAAGGGAATGATGTAAGCAGATTTAGAATAGAGTCTATAGGGAATTAATATTAGACAGAGATGTTCTATGATAACATTAAAGATATATATTTTTGCTGACACTTAAATCTGAAGTTAGAGGCATTATTCCTTTAAAACATTTCTCAGTAGCTTCAAATTCTATACAGTTTTTTTTGTAAAGGAAATGTAAACAATATTATTCTGTGGTACAGAAAGTAACTTGAGACATTTAATGGACTTTTACATAGCAACAAATATTCAATATGTTCTTTAAACAAAAAGAAGATTTATTCATTTCTCCCCCATTCTGATTCTACTGAATCACACTGACAATATCTTGTGTTGTGATTCTGACATAAGCTTAACTTAGATTTTTGTGCACCATGGTTCACTGTAGAGCACATTTCATAGGAAGGCTGAACAAATGGAAACATGTACTGGAGGGTGTATTATACACCTAGTTTCAATGATATCTGCACACACCTTTCATCTATGTTTATTTGAATTTCCCAGCTTAAACATTCATGTCTTGTATTTCTGCATGAGTTTTAACATCTATTGAGGTCAGGTACAATGTACAAAGAGACAGATGCACACTTTTCTGAAGATTATTATTGACAAATTTCACATTGCAATGTGTTTGAATTATAGATAATGCATGGCAGTTTGGTCAATGTGGAATACTGCCTCTAAAATGGAGAAACTAGAAAGTTTGGGATAAATACTGTAGTAATCAAGTAAGTACCACAGCATTTAAACATCAGTGGAAGTCAATCATCAGTTTGAGGAAAAGCCAGAAATACCATAAATGCAAAGTACATTTAAAAAAATTACATATTATGTTAAAAATTACCATTTATCAATACAATATACTAAATAATTTTTCAAACTGAGAAGTGACTGTTTTTATTACATAGTGTTTTCTTAAAATGTTGCTTGCATCATTCCAATCTGGAGAGCGTTTCTAGCAGAATGCTGTAGTAGTAGCAGAGCAAACAAAAATTATGAGCTGGCTAAACCGTAAGTTTGAAAGACCTACTGTCCACTCTTTTACAGGAAAAGTAAGAGTTTGATGACTCAGATATTACGCAGTTAGTTTAATAAGCACAAAAGGATAATGAATTCCTATTACTGAAATTGCTTAACAATAACACTTAACATGGAAGATTAGATATAGCTTCTATAAGGAGAGATCACTAATATCAGATAGAAAGGTAAAAAATTATCAATAGAACCATAAATTATCAGGAACATCAAAAAGACAATTTTATTTATGTGGGACACTATGTATGGTGCCCCACATAAAAAGATGTATCTTTCACGTCTCTTCTCACTAAAAAGCTGCTATGCTTCATTTACAGAGCTGTAACAATAATCAAAGGAATTAAACTGAACAAAAAAATCCTAAAGTGAATCAACAGCAGCTGATACTTGAAATGCAACAATTAAATGCCTCATCCCACTGAGAGCTCAGTTACTCTTCTGCTGATGTAACAGAGTATTTCCTTAGAATGCTGCTCTACTATACCTGCATTTGGCCCCAAACAGATCAGTATATAAAGAAAAATATTACAAAAATTATTCAATAAATTCAGTCTGTAAGAGTTCAGCATCATTTGGGAAAGAACAAAAACTATAAATTTTCAACAGTATAATTTCTTTTTTTCTTTTTTTTTTGGTTATTTTTAACATTGAATTTATTATGTGGCATTATGTACAAAATTTATAAAGTTTAGTATGTATTAGAAACAGTTAGAAAGATTTTATGATACAGCATCTCAAGATTTTATCAACTCAATTAGGTTCAGTATGCTAGGAAAGCTTTTCAGTAACATTTACGTATTTCCACAGCAAACTTATGCTCTGGCATTAAGTAACTGACTCGGGGACTTTGTACTGATTTCTATGTATTCAACACACCATGACCTGGCAATGGATCATGTTATTGCTATCATGTTTAATCATCATGCCTTAATATATAGGAAGATTTTTCTAGCACTTACTTACCAGTGTTCACACATATGGAATCCAGCTGGCTAGCTAGACTACCCCAACTGCAGACCCTGATATCTAGCATATATCCCAGTTCTTTACCTAAACATATCTGGAAGTTACCTTTTTACCTGGCAAATTGCTCTCTGCTTACCAGCATTACATAAACTGGATTTAGGCTGTTTACTTAACATGTGTATAGCTTTTTTAAAAAAATGAACCTATAGAAACGAGACAATAATCAAACACAAGCATAAGCTTTGATCTAATAGTAAGTCCATTTTGAACTTTTTGTTATACCATGAGTCTAGATTTCAAAAGGATTCAGTCATGCAGATTATAAGAGATTTATCAGAATAAAGCGTTAGACAGTCTTTGAGAATTATGAAGATAGACATTTTCTGAATAGTATGCTAAGAGAATTATTCTCAGAGAAGTCTGTTTTTCAAAACCCTAGAATGTACATACTCTACCTCCTTTTCAAAGAAAACAGTAAGGGGACAAAAATAGTTACATGTTTCTAAAGCAGCAGTATACTGATTATCCTAGAGATTTAATTATCTTTTACATCACATGTACCAACAGCCTTGCCAGTCATGCTTTAGTCAGCAACACACAACAGTATGAGATACAGATTTTAATTTAGCTTTCAAGATAGGAAAGCAGCTTGCCTATCAGAGAAGCATTGCAAAAAGCAGCAGCCAAGATTAGGTCAGGAAGTTTTCGACATAATTACTTTCTGAACCTAGACAACATGGCATAGATTCATACAATTCTGCTTCACTTACAGCCAGGCCACTTCTAACGTTTCTTTGTTTGCTCCAAAGATGATTATCTGAGAGTAGTTGGACAGCTCTTAGTTTAACATTTTTAACAAAGCCTGAAATTTCATGATTAGCCAGGATGCCACTAATAGATGTTGAAATCATAATTTAATGATTTAATAATGCAAAGAGCAGGACAGACATAAGCAGGAAGATGGTGCCAAGAGAAACCACCATTTTGATGTTGTTTTCAATTTCCTTTCCTCCTAAATACCTGTGAAAATGCTAAATAATGGAAATTAAATTGGTTTTATTTTCTCAGTCCTGTGTGGATGTCAGTATGAAAATGAAATATTCTGTGATATAAATGGCAATATTATATCCAAACTATCAGTCTTTTTCAGTATGGCTATATCACCTATAAAATCTTCAAAGTGATAGATATCATTGTGATTCCACTGGTGTAATTAAGTGGAATCTGGATTTAACTCTTTCTAATGCTTATACAGTTAGGTAGAATAACTAAGTATAAAAATCCAGAACACTGCAAATCAAAGCAAAACAATTTTGTGGTGATTATTGGTTGCAAATACTGCAAAACCCCCGTGTCTCTAAATTATAGTCCACTCTGGACTTTATTGATATTCATAACTCCTTTGATCTACTTATTAATGAGAATTTATTAAATGAAAATATTTGCAAAAATAGTTGTATGAAAGCAAAAGCATTTTAAGTAGCAGTAGAAATATGCTCCAGTGGGAAAAAGATCTACCACCAGAACCTACTTTAAAAGCCTCTTTAACTCATACAAGCAATAATGAAAGGATATTTCTGAAATAGAGTAAGGGACTGCTGTTTGCAAATATTAATTAAGCAAACTTCAGTTAACTCTCACAGTAACAACTTCCACATATCATATCATAGCAATATCTTCGACAGTGAATCACAGTATGCCAATACAATGTTACCAATTCACAATACAAAGCCTAAATTCTTCAGAGTATCAAGGGATTTTAAATAATGAATATTTTAAATCAAAATACATCTTATCAAAATAATTATTCTTTACTAAATGTAAGAGAAAAAGCTCTGGAGCAAGTATGTTTTAATTCCACTGATTTACAAAACTGAAAGCAGCAACTGTGGTGTTTTAAATATTATGGCATTGTTTAATAGGTGAGATGTAAATCACAATGAAGCTGAGCAACTTCCGCACATTTTGATCCAAACTCAGTAGTTTATTTACTTGAATGCTAAACTTTGCCTATTACTGATGAGATGAGAATAACTTTAAGTTTCTCAAGGCAGACAATTTTAGCTGTTTGGGGAGGTAATAATTTTTTGACCATAAATTAAAGAGCTATAATAAGATTGAATTGGGCCACATATTGCAATAAGTGTTCTCTTTGCACCTCTACACCTAAGTGTGAGTGTAAGTAAGAGCAGAACTGATCTCTGAATATTTAACCAGCCAAATAACAGTTTTGTATGAATTCTTTCAACTAAATTATGGTCACATGCTTTGACTGCAGAAATTAAATTAATTTCATGCTTAATGGTGCTCCAAGTACTGCATATAAATCTCCAACAACTAAATGCTTATAGAAGTACTAAAGAAAAGCACTTCTAAAAAAAAAAAGTGAAAAATAAAAACTATGATGAGTTTGCAGGTTACCTCCATTATAAGTTAAAATACAATAATATGAAAGTTTTCTAAAACAGCTAGCAGCTTTTCATTATCAATGCAATTCACAGATGGACTTACATATAAATATAAGCTTCTGATGAGAAATGTGGCATATGTGTTACATATTCTGCCTTCCCTCAAAGCAAAAGAAAACCCTTCAAAAACCGAATCCTGAATTCCATATCATCAAGATTAGGAGAGGTACATGGCATGCACTGCAGAATACTATTAAAGTATTATGGAGAGGATCAGGACCACAGAATTCCTGGTGCTGCCGCTCTTGCCTGACCATGCTGTGATGCGAGTCCCGTGGCTCAGCAGGGAGCAGCTGTGCATGTTGGTACTTATTGCAATGAATGGGACAGGATCATAGCTGAAGAGCATGCAGGCCAGTCAATATCGGCTAGAAGGTGATTAAATAGGATATAGAGAGATGTATAACTTGCTTAGGTAACCTGTGTAAAACTGGTGACACGATGCTCTGCCTCGCTAAAAGGCACCAGAGCTGCCCGCTTGACTGATCCAGCTTGGTTCTACTCCTGTGAGAAGTAAGAACGGTAGGAAATGAAGTTCAGGACACAGCACCTCTGGTTTTTGTACTGAATATTGCTTACTGTAAAATATACATTATTAATGTATCTGCAACAGCATTACGAGAGCCCATTTTCTTCAAAACATTGAAAAATATTTTGTCATTGGTATATCTTGGTGTATTATTGGCCTATAAGTTACATTTAACATAAATTAATTATTACCCGCTATTATGAGTATTTTAACTAATTATTATACATTCATACATGTACTACAAAATTTTCCATATAAACCATCCTCATAGTACTTAAAACCTAAAATTGAAAAAAATATAATTTCTACACTAAATAGCAGTACTGCAGCTCAGATCCACAGACCTTTATTTATAGGACAATGGACTCAGCACAGTGTTATCACAATTATTAATGGCCTCCTTCCATGATAAAGTTTTATTTAGCATTTCTTCTCTAATTTCCTTATTATACTGTATTCACCCACTGACATTCTTGGGGACACTGTTTTTATTATTAAATTTGTTTTAGGTTTCAGTAACTTTCTAGCAAATTCCTTGTTAATTCACACCTACTAAGCATGTACAACATTTTATATATTGTTTCTACAAAGGCGTAATCTAGTTAACATTTCTATCAAACTACTGGAAAGATACATGTGCTATAATACAGAATTCACCAAACATTAACATGCTTTAATTAAAACTTGCTAAGAAATAATAATTATTTTGTTGGAATTCAGCTTATTGCCCTATACAACAGTGAATACATGGACTTGGTTGTAGACACAGAAGCAAGCATAAGCACACAAACACACACTCATCAGCATCTGGCTACCTTGTACAGTGTCCTCACAGCACCTGGATGCCTCAGCTGCCTTTCATCTGCAAATCTGCTAATTGAATGCAGTTTGATGGCAGTTCCTGACTTAGATTTTAATTTGTGGTGTAAGCAATGAAATGACTGGCAGATCAACTTGGCAACAGCAGTATCATATAAACAGGAAAACATGAGAGGCCAGAAATGCAAGGCACATTATGGCGTGGCAAAAAAGAGGAAACCTTATAAAAAAGCCATCTGTAGCCAATTTTTTAATTTTAAAAATGCCTTTTTTTCCTATGGATCATTTTCATTAAAAGAGTGTTGGTCATCTGTCTAATAAGACAACACTCCACTATATCAAAAAACCATTAAGAGTATCAAGTGAAGAGTAGGAACTAGGATTAAGATTTTAATGCTTTTGTGTCACATTTCTGTGACTCAAATCTACTTGAACTTTAGGCACTTTCCTAAGAAATAGGCTCACAATCTTTGCTTACTGCTGTGTCTCTCTTGAAAATCCCTGAAACTGATAAACATTCCCTTAATTTTTTCACCTTCAGCATCTGCATTAGTAAGAAATGTTGGCCCCGAATATACTCAGCTGAGTTTCAGACTTGGCCAGTTGAAACTGCTTGACCCTAGCTCACCCCTGACTCAATAAGCATTTATTTGTCTTATCACCTGATCAGTTTGCAGTTCCTGAAGCACAACAGCATTAAGTGCCTCCAAGAATGCAATGAAGACACTGTTTTCTTTTAAATATGGTAGGTGGTGTAAAAAGCCTTTCTTTTATGATGGAAGCTTAATGACTGGAGTTCATGCCTCAAATGTGGGATAATCCGCTTTAAAACTTTTCCTATAGGAAGTCAATATTTCTGTCATCTTTAGAATAACCCAATGAGGGTCCTTCCGTGGGAAGAAAAGAAAGATTTGGCTAATGAAAACAGTCAGCAGTCACATCATCCAGTTATACAGTGAAGTAAGAGATGCACCATTGTCATACTCAGCCCTGCTAACCACCAGCACAGAGGTTTGTATAAAGCTCACCCTCCACCTCTCCTACAGACATAGCGCTCTTGTGCAGTGAAGAACAGAACAACTGAAGGTTAAACTTCAACTGATTTGTTCTACACACAAGTACTGGTTTTGAAGAGTAAGAGTAAGACAAATACAATCAATCCGAAAAATATATTTTTATAAGAATAATAAAGACATGTATGATAAGAAACAAGAAAATATGACAAAATGTGTATTGCAGTTGGTAAAAAATCGATCTCAGGTAGAAAATTACTAGAATCTTACCCATGTTTATACTCTCAGATTCAAGTAAGAGAAAATCACTAATGAAAGCCTTTATGTTAGTTTATGTCTACCCCACAGCATGCAATATTGTTCAAAAATACCCATGATAATGCTGAATGCACTAGCATCAGTACTAAGCATAGCACACACTTACTGCACTTGAGCTGATGTGCCTCCACCACTTTCAGTCGTGCAGGACAAAGCAGTGGGTTAATAATACACACACAATAACAATGCCTTGGCATCCACTATAACTCTCAGTGCTAGATTGGATTTATCCACTTGGCACCACCTTGTGCCAGAAAGAGGTACATTTTATTAGTCACAGTACGTAACAGATTGAAATATCTTAAAGCTTTCAAAACAATGAGTAGCCAAATGAAAGGATCTTGTACTAGGATATTAAGCTTTGTAACTTTTTCTCATAAGGCCATTACTTCACTTCAGTGGTTCTGCTACCATCAGATAGATTATTAGTGATTTATTTGGAATTGTTTAGTGATGCTAGTCCAGTATTCAGATGTACCTATCTGTGATGTACATGCATGCATTTTCACTATATAAAAAAGGTTAAAAACATCAGAATGAATTGTTAAAAAAGCAGATTAAAAAATAATCTGCTCTAATGAGATAAACATGGAGAAATTTGCACCAGCCATACACACTTTGTATGACTTCTGGTATCCAGGACTATTAAATTGGTTCTTTTGCTTGCTAAGGATTTAACGAAATAAAATAGAAAAAAAATATTAATTTTCTAAAAACTTTTGTTACGTATCTTAATTGTTACTGTAAATGCAATACGGTATCACCGTCATTCAAAACTTACAACCTTACATTAATTTACCTTAAATAACATTACAAGTTTGTATATGCTGTTGTAAATGACTTAAAGATTTGAACTCAACACTAGTAACCACAGGAGAAAAAAAAAGAAAAGCATCAGAGTACTTTAAAGTTAAAAATAAACTTACCTCTTTGCTTTCTTCCAGGTCTGATTCACTGCTGAACTCCTCTGTGTTTAAATTTTCAAAATCTGATTCTCCAACAGCAATGGGCACTGTCACGGTGAGACTTGGGTTGTTTATGAATGACATGTAATCACTTTCATCAACAACATATTTTTCTACACTGCTGCCTATGCCACTGGTAGTTCCATTCCCGTCTTTGAGATAGGCAAGGTTTTTACCTATATCTACTATTGTATGGTTGGAAATACAGCTGTCTTTTTTATTGTTCAGGTCTTCAAGAGGTTTGATTTCATCTAAAGCTTTCTGTTTTCTAACAAAGGCTTTTTGGATGAATTCACGCACTTTTCTCTTCACATAATCTATGCCTTTCTGAATCCTTGCTACAGCAATCTGGAGATTGTTCATTTCATTGTCGTCATCAGTAGCAGCAAGGTTGTCTGAACTAAATGAGCTCAGCAGCAAGGCCAGAAATAGGTTGAGTACCTAAAATAAAATAAGAAAAAAAATTCTCTTATTTCTAAGTCATAAAAGATATGTCATTAAAAGTTTTTCAATATGAGATAATTTTTATTTCACATGTAACACTTTATTTCTATGCACCTTCCTGCTATTCTTTTCACTTCATAATCCTTGTCCCCAGCATTTTATTATCTTGCTAAAAGCACTTTTAGCTGGTTTGACTTCACTAATACAGGTAAAATCTGAGCTGTTCCTTGACTGTCTCCTCCACAATCTGCAGTAGTTCAGATCTGCTCCTCAAAATGGAGAAAGACATAAAGAGGCAGAATACAACATAATGCAGTGATTTATGCAAGCTACGCCCACTATAGTGCTCATAGGCCAGGGGAATGCAGGCAAACACCAGTCTTTTACAGTTCAACAGACCATAGCTCTAGTACCTCTAGTACCTTCTAATTCAGAATATAGTAAAATTTTGTATTTGGCAAGTATATATGAGTCTATCTTGGTCCTGGGCAGGAACACTAGCTAAGAGATAGACTTCACAGATGTGGTATACCTCAGTTTCAAGAAACTATTTCATCTCAATTTCAAGAAGGTATTTCAGACTTTCTTGCATGACATTTTACAAACATACAAGAGAAATTTGGATAGCATGCAATTATGACAGACCATGTGCAAAACTGATTAAAAACCACTTAATTAAAAATCAGTTAAATTATATTTGTCAGTTCTTCCTGTTCAAACTTGCAGAATATTTTATAAGATATGCCACAGGACTCCCATCAGTCTGGTGAGTGACTTAGTAGTGATAAGCATATTTATAAAATTTGTCAATCATACCAAAAAGAGAAAGATGCACTCAAGGAGGAAGAACTACAATTAAACATAATCATGGTTTATGGAAAGTTGGTGAAATTATTCCAAATCAATATTTTGTTTAATTCTGAAGTACTGTTGTGGAAAGGATTGTTACGAAAAATGAAAAGTATGTATACAGAAAGTGTGAAAGCTGGCAAGGTGGAAGCACTGCAGAAAGGGGTATAGAGGCTGCATCAGGAGAGCAACACTGGTACAGAAAATTCATGTGTCTTTTGGGGATGTACTACAAGGAATGCTGAGTGTAAGAAATGAAAGTATCATTATTCCACATTATTCAGTACTTGTGTCTTTATTCAAAATGTTGCTTGGGAGGAATTTAGAAGGCAGTAGCAAAAGGGATAAGCCATTTACAAATCATCACTTATGAGAAAAAAACTGAAGCATTAGGCTTGTTTTGTTTCCCAGAGAAATGACTGAAAGTGGAAACAGTAAGCTTTTAAATATCTTAAATGTTGTCATAAAGACCAGCAGTTTTCCATCAATATTGAGATAATTTCATTTACTTGGCTGTAAAAGGTGATTTAAATTAGATGTTTCTTTAAAGGCACTCTTAACTGTAAGCATAATTCAGCACTGGTCTTACTAAAGAGGTTATAAACTTACTGAGATTTAAAAGAAAAATAGACAAACCTTTTGCATAGATAATCAAGGTATATTTGAACCTGGTATACAGAAAGGGCAAGTGAACTACATTATTTCCTGAAGTCCTTCTCCAGTTTTCATTTCAGATTTCTAAATCATTAAAAAAAAGAGATATGTCCTAAGAGTTTTAAAAGATCCCCACTGATTACATACCACTAGGTTTCCAATGACCATGACCATCATGAAAACAATAAGGCACATGGCTTGGCCAGCAACCTCCATGCAGTCCCACATGGTTTCTATCCATTCTCCACACAGCACTCGGAATACAATCAGGAAGGAGTGGAAAAAGTCGTGCATGTGCCAGCGAGGGAGCACACAGTCACTTGCAATTTTGCAGACGCATTCCTTGTAGTTTTTCCCAAAGAGCTGCATCCCAACCACAGCGAAAATGAACACGATGATGGCCAGCACCAGGGTCAGATTCCCCAGAGCCCCCACTGAGTTGCCAATAATCTTAATCAGCATATTTAGAGTTGGCCAAGATTTTGCCAGTTTGAAAACTCGAAGCTGCAAAACAGAGGAATGGTTCTTTGTTATCTAATTGTAATGGAATTACTGCTATACATTTCATATTTCAGTTACCGTGTGTCTATATCTTGTCTCTCGTAATCTTTAGAAGTTTTAGTTACAAAATTTCTGTTTCCAGTTCTTTGCACAATACTACACATCAGCAGTGTTAAGTCCTGATTCAAGTGATAAGAAATCAAAAATAATATCTCTATGCTCATTTCAATTACATTGAAATTATCACAAAGACTCTTATTCAGACTTTGACTGTTTTGATGACTTTAGGTATTTATAAAGAAGTTTTACTTGTTAAAGAAGTTGGGCAAAACAATCTTTCTCCTGTAAACTCTGAGAAATTATTACTAATAAATAAATGAGCACATATGAAATGTGATCAGTTTAACAGGACTATAAGTGTATAGTCACTTCCAGTTTCTTTCATCTTAACAGTCAGTGAAATGAAGGAAATAAGTTTCCTAAAAAGAGAAACAAGCTAGAGTTGATAATGACAGACATGAAAGTGACTTGCAATATCTTTAACAATATATTTTCTGTCTTTTAAAATAAATGTAATGTGTCTTACAAAGGTTGTCACACAACATTGAGAAAAAAGAGGGAAATTATTATATTAATAAGTACAACTTGGAACAGATAAAAATGAAATTATTGGAAAGATACAGCAACTGTTCAGACAATTGAAAGAGAAGAATACTAAAATGAATATAAAACTAAATAGTGTCTCATGTGATTATTTTATGTTTCATAAAGAAAATATGACATTAAAACAACTTGACATAAATGTCAAGTTAAAACCAGAATCTACTCCTGAGAATGAAGTCAATCCAGACAGATTTTAGACTTCAGGCAAAGTACAGTGGAATGCTATGCAGATAACCAGAAAAAACTTATTTAAACCTCTTATTTTTTAAAGGGATGTATTTAACTTTCATTTCAAGTTAAATATTTTTTTTTATTTAAGGCAGAAGTTGATCTTGATGACCAGGAACTCCAGCTTGTGGTCTCTTACTGTGTAGGTCTTTTCAGAAGAGTGTTTGGACACTGAATTGCATGCTAGCCTAGTCTGCACGAAGACCAAGGTTTTTCAAGTTCCTGTTCATAAAAGAAATATCTAATAACAGACAGAGACACTGTAGTGACTTCTGAGCAGAAAAGCTGTCAGACTGCAGATAGACCCTTGCACAGGATGGTACAGAGAAGGCTAGTAGCAATGAAAAGTCCCTGGACAATGAAAAATCTTAACACTACTCTCTTGTAAAACTAACCAATAAAGGCAATTGGTAATAGAAGTTCATAAACTAAAATTGTCAATAAAATTTTATTAATTAACTAATTATTTACCAAGCAATTCACTAATCTTCAGTCACAGGTAGTGTAGGCCCTATGGATCTTGAATTTTTTTACTCCTTCATCTAGGGAGAAGACTCTAAGAAATATGTCTCTTAGAAAAATTAATCCTTTAAGCATACTTTTGTCAAGAATAGAATTGATGTTGACAGTATCTTGAAGGAGAAATAGACGTTACCATGATAATATGCAAAACAAACTTGACATAATATAGACATGCCATCTAGTGAGTATGCAATTTAGCATTTTGTAAGTTCTGAAAAGATCTTCTATCTCAGCCAAATATTTTATTTGCAAATGAAAAATGCACAAAACATATATGTACAAATACAAAAATATAATCTAGAAACATATTTTAAATAGTATACTTACCAATCGGAATGACCGAAGGACAGATAATCCTTCTACGTTTGCAAGGCCAAGTTCCATTAAACTAAGACTCACAATAAAACCATCAAAAATATTCCAGCCCTCTTGGAAATAATAATAAGGATCCATGGCAATTATCTTGAGAAACATTTCTGCTGTGAAAATTCCAGTAAACACCTGCAAGGAAAATACAGTTTCTTACTCCAGTTTAGGAAGAGTAAAACTAATGGTATCCACAAGCGCTAAGTTATATTTTCAGGAAGAAATTAATGATAAATCTGAATGTCTTCTCTATATTTCCATACACTGGGGTTAGGAATAAAATTAATATTTGAAGCTTACATATGCATCACATAGTTTGAGTTACAAATACAAAGGATGGGAAAATGCATTTTTTATCTAGCCTGCTAATATGTGTGCATGCCAATACACAGAATATAATCTGAATTTAATGCTCATTTTTATCTCCTTAGAGCTCATCTTTTCCCTTAAACCACCTTTTGACTTCTAGGAATAAAGATAGTTGTTCCTATCATAAAATTATTTTATTAAGAAATAATTAAACAGAAAGTTGAGCAGAACTGTTCTTCTTCAGGATGACTTATGGAAGACACTGTCATTCCATTTCATAATTTCCTTACATCTGTCATGCTTACTGGGTCTTTCCCCTCTAAAATTCCTTGAACACCCAGACCCTTAGGAGGTACTAGTGAGGAGCAGAATGGGTATGGGAATGGAATTGAAAGTTCTTATCATTTGTAACCATTCATCAGAAAACTCCAATTCTTTTAATGAGCTTCACTGACAGAAGATGAAGATTTTAAAAATCAAAGCGCATCTATTGACTCAGTAGATCTTGACTCTGCAAAGTAAGAGTGGTGAAATTTACAAATGTCAACAGCTTTAATTTAAGTTCAACAATCCCAAACCTTTAAATAGTTAACTTTTTGTTTTACATGAATGTGCATAAGTCACAAAAGAATTAAAGAAAAATGCATTTTACAAACATGGCACATCATGAAAGACTTACAAGGTTTCCTACTGAAAGCACCCCACTAAACTGTTCTGTCATTGGGTAGTGCTCCATGGCCATGAACAGGGTGTTCAGGACGATGCAGATGGTAATGGCCAGATCAACAAATGGGTCCATCACAATCAAATTTACTATATGTTTGACTTTCAGCCAGGGAGTACAGCAGTCCCAAATCAAGCAAGTGTTAGCAAATTTATACCAGCATGGTGGACATTTCTGTCTGGATTCTTCCAGTTCTAGAGAGAAGATGAAAATAACATTTTAAACACATTTATCTATTCCAGAATTGCCTGGATATTTCCTTGAAACCTAAATGCTGTTTTCAAATGTACTGTTGATAAACTGCATTGATATTTTGAAACTGAGACTGCTTTCAGTTAAAAGAAATTACATTTTAAAATAATCTATTACAAAAAAAACCCCATGCCAATTCCACCCCTCCCGCCAAAGCAACTATACTAAACATTCAGTAGATAAAAGAACCATTCACAAGCTAATGCTAGATAGAATGCAAAAGAGAAATTTGTCTTGGAAACCTGTCATAAGGCTGGGTGATGAGGGGATTGAAAGCAGCCCAGCAGACAAAGGCTTGGGGTTATTGGTGGCTGAAAAATTGCGTGTGAGCCAACCATATCAGTCACAGCCCAGAGAGCCAATCTCCTCCTGGGCAGCATCAAAAGCAGCCTGGCCAGAGGGCTGTGGGAAGGGATTCTCCTCCTCCAGCCGGAGTGCTGTGCTCAGCTCTGGGATTCCCAGCATAAGAGCAGGTTCAGAGGAGACCACAAAGATATTCAGGGGCCAGAGCACATGGCCTGTGAAGACAGGCTGAGAGACCTGGGGTTACTTGTCTAGAGAAGAGAAGGCTCCAAGGAGACCTTATTGCAGCCTTCCAGCACTTACAAGGGGCCTGCAGGAAAGATGGAGAGGGAGCCTTTATCTGGGAGCGGAGTGAGAGGATGAGGGTGTACAGTTTTAAACAGAAAGAGGGTAGGTTTAGATTAGGTAGTAGGCAAACTTTTTTTACTGTGAGAGTCGTGAGGCACAGGTTGCCCAGGGAAGATGTAGATGTCCTATCCCTGGATGTGTTCAAGGCCAGGTTGGATGGGGCTTGGAGCAATCTGCTCCAGTGAGAGGTGTTCCTGTCCATGGCAGGGGAGTTGGAACTCTAGATGATCTTTAAGGTCCCTTCCAATAAAATATTTTAAAATATCCTCATGAAAGATTAGCATTTAGAGCAACCCTGAAGTCAGACAAGTATTTAGGCAGCATTGTGGTCCACATGTGCCCAACTGCTCTTTATTACCTTCCAATTTTCTATTTTGGGCATAGTCATTTAAGCCTTAACATAAGGTTTCAACCTTTCTTACAAATAATTGCTTAATTCCATGATTCAGAGTAATTGTATTTAGCCTTACAGAAAGAACATGATCCCTCCTTTGTGAAACAGCAAGTCTATTGAATTGGTAGAAGGGGATTTTTCTACTGCAAGAAGCATAGCCATTTTTAAATTGGAAACTTGCTACTTCTACCTCAAACCTATCAGTACGTTGCAAGCTTTTATATTTTTTCCAAATTTATTAGTCCCAAATTAAAAACAAACAAACAAACAAACCGCCAAAAATCCCAAAACTAACTCCACATAGAAATCTCTTCTTGTCTGTACCCTCTAGGCTGAAATAGCTGCATTAAAACATCACTACCACTTAATGCATCACACATTTAACAGCACTTTTAAGGCACTGTCATACAAAAAAACCAAAAAGTCTGTGTTACATACCTTCCATTGTGTTTGTAAGCATGCTGGCTATACTCATTGCTCTTTGCCTTGCACTAGGGTCTGTTAGGTAGTCCATAGGAACATGGTAAGAACTAGAATGTCTCTTTCTTAAGTCAGTTTCTGTAGTAGTGCCCTGAAAATAAAGCACTAATGAAATAGCTAATTGACTGTACATTTATTAACACTGTAAGTTACTCTAGAGCTCTCCTCTAAAGATTTAAAACTCTGCTGTCCCACACCAGTTACATTGCTCCAGTTATATTAAGGCTTCACAACAGACTAAGGCATGCCTGACTCTGCACAGAACAAATAGTCAAACACTGTAGCACATTGCACTTGTGCCTGAGGAATATGTTTTTAAGTACTTTGCTGAAACAGGGTGAGATACTAAAGCAGATTTCAGACTAAAAAATGTTTCACAGTGCTTCTCAATGAGCTCTGCTTTAGGCAGTGAAATCTTTCTCTAAATGTGAAAATGCACAGCCCACACAGCTAGCAGTAAAGAAACTAAGCATAAGTGCATTTTCTTAAGAGAACTCTTAATTTAGAATAAACTATGAATTTCCTAGAACATTTTTCAGACAAATGAAAAAATTAGTAATGTTGACATAAAAAAACCCATAGAAAAATTAGCTATATTACAGGAACACTGTCACAACCCTTTTAAGTTGTACTACCAGGGTAATATCAAAAGTTTCATGTATGGACAGCAGGCAGCTAAATACTAATTTAATATATTCCATTAAGAAAATGTAATTTTTTTCCATTTTGATATCCTTTTGGATATACAAGTACAGAATCATCCACTTCTTAGTTAAGTCTAAGCATAATGAATCAATGGGTGTAAGACTACACAAACTAAATTTATTCAATGCTTTACTATGTTATTCTTTTAATTCCCAGTCAATTTGCATGCATTTTCGCATATTTAGTTAATGAGAGCTGGACAACATCAATTTCTCCTTTAGCTTATAGCTGAAATACATGAGAGGAGCATTCACAGCTTAGCCAGAAAGGTCATCATTGCCATGTGACTACATTTGTGGAAACAGTGACTGATCATTCGGGGAGAGAACATCATGCCTGAGCTATTGCAGACTTCCTTACGTTGCTAGCAGTGGCTGCTTTATCAATCATCACCTCTGGCAGAAGCTGTCCCGTAGGCGATGTCAAAGCTGGCGGCCCACCAACTAAAGACACCACTCCATTGCAATCCACAGTGCTGTGCATCTTCCCGTTTGCTGGAAGTGCAGGAATTGTTCTGGATGACCTACTGGCCTGGCTAATGTTACTGTTGCGCCGTTCACCGTGTCTATGAGGGACAAAGAGAGAATCTCTTCTGCTCTCGTTGTCTTCAAAAGTGCTGTGCTCATCATCAGCAAAGTCATTTTCTGATCCTACATCCTTTGCTCGACCTCTGAAGCTGAAAAGACTTGTTCTGCTGTTGCGCCTTGGGGAAAACAGGGAGCCACGAATGCTCAGCAAAGACTGCAGGTAAATAAAAACAATTATTATCAGATGAAAATAATTTAAAATACAACATTTTCATACAGAGGAAAAATCCACAATGTCTTTAAGGGTAAGGTCATCTACAAAGAAATGAACTGGTACAGTCCCCCCCACTAATACACTCCCTTTTGGGTAGTAAACAAAGAGCACATAAGTGACAGACAAAGACTAGTTATTTTACTGCTTTGGATATATGAAATCAATCAGTTTAATCAGAGTAAAAGAAACTGCTTGACAGAATTGTTTCCTCTGCTATTCTGCCTATGTTATTACCAACTGTGCATAAACTGAATAAGTGTATCTAGATACTCTTTACCCCAGGCTGGCATTAGTACGACAGGCTGAGTAAATAAAATTTTAGGCAAATTTTCTGTGACCCAGTCTGCACACAGAAGTAGCTCCCAAATACTGCCTAGTTTAAAAAAATTACATATATTTTCAGATATTAGTCAAGTAGATCATAATAGGTTTCTTATTTCTTTTTTAAAGTCTTAGCTATCCTGAATATGCAATGATTTTCCTGTAACTTTGTATAAATAGGTTTGCTAATCTTCATCAGTTTACTCATTGGCATAAGTGTTCTGCTATTGGAGGATCTCCAGTATTAGAGTCAAAATAATGCTCTAATATTACAATTAATCATACACATTCTTAATTTTAATTCATATCAGTAATTGCCTTGACTCAACTGGTAAGTATTAGTACCTGATTTCACCCAAGACCTCTATAAACAGCAGAGATGATGCATAATGAAGCAATGTCTTTTTTTCTCTTCTGCAACTTATCTTTGTGGACCTGAGCCCCATTGTATTAGGGACTGCAAAATGCAGAACAAAAAGGCACTCTGCAAAGAACTTATCATTTAAATGTAACACAACAGATGGATACAAAAAAAAAGGGAATACACAGAGGCAAAATTGATGAGTATGATAAACAGTCATCTTAGCTCACCTGAAGTCACTTCCCTGTCAAGCTTTCTGTAGGCAGCATGGTAAAAGAGAGTTTTAAAGAGGGATTTGAGGAAAGCAATGAAGTGTTCTGTGGAAACTCATGGGAGCTTCTTCCAAGCATGAAGGGCAGCATACCAGAAAGAGCTCAAAGAAACTAGTTTGAAAATTTAACAGGAGGTTATGAATACTGCTTTGGGTCAGTCAAAGCTGGGACTTGTTTACTGTAAGTAGACAAGGTGGGTTGGGAGGAACTTCAGGTACAGTATATTTTATGATATAAAAAAAATATTTAGGTAAATATGTTTACTAGCAGATTAGAGAAAAGCAATGGGATAGGTTAATGCTCTTTGCAACAACATTCTTGATGAATACAGCAGTAAAGAGGTCCAAGTTAAAAACTATTGTTTTTAACAACAAAACAGTTGTGGGTCCAGAATAGAGTTTAAAAAAAAAAAAACAATTAAAGAAAAAGAGAGAGAAAAGGGATCTAGCAAAAGGCCTTGTGGACATCCTTTGGAAAACTGTCAAAGTGGTAAAAGGATCTCCTAAAGCACAACTAAACCAGAAGAATTGAGAGGAGACAAAGTTATGAATGTTAGGAAGAATAAGATTTCAAGAGGAATAAAATGGTCATTTACATTGAAAGAAAATGAAATGCCAAGGAAAAAGGCAAAGATTATATATAAGCCTGAGTTTTCTCTAGGAAAATGGTATTAAAAACTGATGAGTGGAACTTCTTTTTAGTGGTTAGAATCCAGACTGAAAAGGAACTAGGGTTGGAAAACCAGAGGGGAGGTGATTTCTAGACTGTCATAGTCAAACAACTGTAAATGAACTTGGAGATGAAAATGTTAGAAGAACAAGTTGTATGAGGAATGCTTCATTTCTTACAAGACGGATGAATTGTGCTGCAGTTGAATAAGGCTGCAGTTTGAATGAAGAGATAGGCAAGAATATGCACCTAGGGGATCATGGATCTTCAACGTGAAGTTGAAGTCAATTGACATGTGTGAAAATTTGTGTAAGGAACAGAATGAATCATGAACTAAATTCAGCAATGAAGCCTCACAGAGATTAGTTAGACAGCTAACAACATAAAACAGCGGCAGACCAAGGAGGTGGGGTGGGGGAAAGGATTACTGTTGAGAAAGGAAATACATTAGGAAGTGAGTGGAAGGAGTGCCAGAAACATTATATTCCCACCACAGTCTGGTCTAAGGAGGACACTCCTTAGTAAGAAAAAATTGGATGAAGAGCTCTGAGCTTCTTTGAGAATGGGAGGCTGGAGAAAACAATACATGAAGAAAGTATGAATGCTCATGATCTGTTAAGGGATGAAATAGGCTTTCCAGAGACAGAAATAGAGGATTAGAAAGGCAGGAATGAGTTTAGTAATAATGACTAAGAAGAAGGAGAAAGCAAGTCATAAAGACCAGGGAAAATTGAAAAGATGGAGATAGAAGGAAGAAGCATATTGAGACACAAAAAGGGGCAGAAAAAGGAGAGAATGTATGCAAGATCTGGATTTGCAGTGCTACGGGGAGAGTGAGAAGTGGGCAAATGAAGAGGAGCTTTGAAAACTGTAGGAGATAACATTACAAAACTATCAAATGAAATAAATGTCTGGATGGCAGATGCAGATGGCACTCTGAGTCACTGGTGTTTCAATGTAAGAGAACACATGCAAAGACACATTGCCACACACATTTCCACCTTCTTTAAGATAACACAATTAATGGTCTCACATCAATTAATTTCTCAAATTTTACATGAGCATTAATGTAATTTCTATTGAGCTTTCTGCATCCCAAATTTTAATACTCTTCTCATTTGAAACATTACATTTTGTATGTATGCACCCTGTTTTGAAGCTACTCATCATGCTGAATACACCCAACTTGATGGGGAGATAGGTCCATTTTAATTAAGAAGCTTGAAATACAGCTCATATTAATTAATATATGTAATTTTGATTTTTCACACAGGAATTCAGAGTAAAACCAAAACCTCTCAAATTCTTAGAGTTTCATATTTGGCTGCAAGTTTTTACTTGGTTAGTCTTTGATTTAGGATATTAATGAATCTGTGGTATCTTGCAAGAAGTAACCAAACTGCTATACAGGGCTTTCTTTATATGATGAGTAGACAAAAAAGGTGTTTAAGAGGTAATAATACTATGGTACCTGGTGTGGGGAAGAGAATCTCTTTTCGTATGTCAGTCTATTCCCCTCAATGGAAAATCGGAAGCCTTTCTTTTTGATGCTGTCCTCTGATGCCGATTTGTGAAATTCTTCCCCATCCTTCTCCTCGCCTTCAGATTGTTCTTTTTGCTTTTTTTTCTTTCTTCTATTCCTTCTCTCTTTAGCACTCTTTGAGCTCAGTTTTGATGCCTCAGAAGAACTTTCGGAGAATCCACCTATTCCACCTACTCCACTATAATCTCTTGAGTCAGCTGCTGCAGCTGCTGCCGCCGCCTATACATACAAGCACATGTGTGATTTCCACCATTTATACAAACACATACCCCACTCACTATTTCAAATTTATTGCCACTCTTAAAGAAGCTATTATTTTGAAATAAAAGCAAAGTTTCTACTTCACCAAGCTCAGCATATCATAAGAAGTGTAATTTGTGAAATACTACAGGAACCATAATTTGCCATTGCTCCATAAACCAGGAGCAAGAGTAACCCAAGGGAAAAACTGTGCTGTCAAAAAAAACATCTGTTTCAGATTGAAGCAATATGTTGCAATGAATTTTTCATCTGAAGCACTATGTAAAAATAAAAATCAAGGCTCAAACAAGTGGTAAAATCCCTGTTAACTGGAAGCAACACTTTCTTATAACATTTTGATGGGTTTTGAATACTCCCTAGTCTATTAAAGATCTTGTGTAATGTTGATATCTTAGCTTGGCAAATAATAATCAGAGATTTGTGTTAAATTACACACTATTACATACTTGTTCCTGTTTGATTTTCAAAACATGTGGAGCATTTTATTAACATTTATTTACAAGATGTGGTAAAAAACAACAAAAAAAATCTCCCAATTCACCCCTAACACATACCAATTGACCAATGAAACAAAAAATGCTGACTGCTGACTTTAGTCATGTGCTTATATGGAAGACATTTTTCAACTTCTGTTCTATGAGGCCACATGCCAAGCAGACATTATAAATTTTTCTATTAAAGATTTGAGAGCCTTCAAAAATAAAAAGTAATTTCAAAGCAGCATATAATCATTACATTTGTACCACAGAAATGTTTTATTCAGTTTCTGCACTTTTCCCAATGCTCTTTAAAACTATAAAACTATGGCTTTCTGCTGTGAGAGATGGGCAGGGAGTAGGAAAAGCCAATTTCTGAAGCACCATCACCTACAATAGTTTTGCTTCTGTTACTTATGTAAGCACAATTACTCTTTGGATTTTTTTTCCATATCTCCACCTCCATTTCAGACAATCGCAGAATGGTTGAGGTTGCAAAGGAACCTCTGGAGGTCATCATGTCCACCTCTCCAGCAGACAGGGTCACCTAGAGCAGGTTGCCCAAGGACCATATCCAGATGGCTTTTGATTATCTCCACAAGCACTCTGGGCAACTTGTTCAAGTGCTCCAGTAAAAAGGTAATTTCCATCTCCAATTTGAAAATCCAGTGCTTTAGCTTTTTGGTTATTATTTTTGTCACAAAATTAACAGATTCACTCAAACCAGCATAAATAGTGCAATGGAAAACATTAGAGATTGTTTACAATATGAAGGAATTTCTGAAACAAAGAATGTATTGCTAGGAGTAGGGGTGTACAAGTTTTCTCGTACGTGAACATAAAGCATTTGTTCACTGTCATGAACAGGAGATGAAATTTTACTTTACAAGGATACCTGAGCTTCTTCCTGTTGCTTTTTCAGTTGTTCCAGCATTTGCTGAAATTCTGCCTCTTTCTGCTCTGCTTCTTCCATTGTTGCTTGGTTCTGTTCTTCATAGGCCATGGCAACCACAGCCAGGATCAAGTTAATTAGATAGAAAGAACCCAGGAAAATCACCAGAACAAAAAATATCATGTATGTCTTCCCAGCAGCACGCAGTGTCTGGAGAAAAAGAGATAATACACTTTTTAAACAGATTTTAACTACTGTTGCATAAGTTAGCCTCTATGTTCTAATTTAGAAATATGTTATAAGACAGATTTGTTATGTTATTATGTTAACACAAGATTATTTAGTTTCTTTTTCCTTATAGAAATAATATTATATCCTAAATAGATATGAAAAAGTTTTGTGTCTACTATTGTCAAGGTAAATCCAAATCTGAATAGTTCAGAACTTATGCCAGTAAGAATCTATACATCTACATTACAGCCTTTAAATTTAATAGTAGGTGTGGCCACTGATCAGCATCTTACCTTCCTGTCTCATCAGTCCCAAACTACACTGCCACAAAAATAGTGCAATATACATAATGTGACAGTGGAGAAAATTACAGTACTTCAAGTAAGGATATGTGTAGTTCAGGGACACAAAACAAAATATTTTTACTAGACTGCAAATCAATCAAACATAGCATCTCTTTACAGCGTGTATGGGTGAGAAACTCTGACAACTTAAATTCATGTATTCATTCAGGTAAAAAAAACAATAATGCTTAACCATCTTTATAAAATAACAGCTATTCCCTATATTGTATTTAAGAAGCACATGGGAACCTAAATCATTAATAAGGGCCTTATTGTTTTAGACAACAGTTTACATATATGAAATTAAAGATGGTTTCTGTTCCAAAGGCCTTAGGGACAAGTGAATGAAAACAACTATGCAAATACTATGTAGTAATGGTATTGGTGATGGTGCTGTTTATTTTAATAAGTCCTCACCAGCTGGTAAAGATTCTCCCAAAAGTCCTGAGTCATCAATCGAAACAGTGACAAGAATGCCCAACTGAATGTATCAAAACTTGTGTAGCCATAGTTGGGGTTTCTACCAGCTTTCACACATATATATCCTTCTGGGCATTGACTACAAAAGAAGAGGAAATGCTATTTTTAACAACTACTCTACATTACGATACGCTGCAGTAAAACAAAATTGTTTAGGAGTACCAGTTGCTAAAGAAATTATGAACAAGTAAAATGTTATTCTACATACCTAACATAAAATTATATAGCTTATTATTTTTCACTTTTTAATTCTACTTCCTAAAAATATTTCAATGCATTAATAATATAACTAATAGTATTCTATCCTTCCCCACAATTTGTCATAACACATCTCCATCAGGACAAGAGAAGAACATCAAGTAGCATGGCTAATAAACAGTTGTTAGCAAGCTGGCAGCAACACTTATGCACAGATCATTCATGTGATTACCTTTACAAAAGTAGCCTGAAAGGCTGATGGAAGTGCCTATGTAAATTCAAATCACAGAGATGGTTGTATTTAGGTATAGTTTCAAATGCAAAACATTGGTAACTTGCAACTCTAGAGTACACTTGATATTAAAGTTGACTACCTGAGCTATTCTAAGTAGCTTATTATTTGTCTTTGATGCATAATGAAAAATTATGATCATTTTCTTACCCTGCATCTGAGCTATTGCCACACAGCAGTGCATCATTTTGTCCTTCCAAGAAGTAGAAATGACCTGTTTAAAAAAAAATCAAAAAGGTGATGAAAAAGATAATATTTATGCTTAATGAAAATTGAGCAATTATATAGACTTTTACACTTGAAAACTAGCAGAGCTAACACATTGTTCAACAGCAATATATAGTGGTTAGGAATGAAAAAAGCATGAAAAGTATTGTTTTGACAGGAAAATTACATTCTACAGAATCTTCAAGTTAGCCTTTCTTTAGAAAACAAAAAAGTTAGTTATACAGTTAATTCTTAGCAACCTAACCAAATTATAAGATATAAGGGGTGGAATATCAAATTGTGTATGTTAGCAAATCAAAAAAATACCAGGAAAATGAGGCAAAGGATGAGAGCAATTCTGTGCTTTCATTCATGCCTTTTGATACATAACACTTAGTACTATTCATTTATAATTATCAATTACATATTATTTTATCCAAGTATTCCTTTAAAAAAAACCTGAATTATTAGGGATGAGATTTTTTCCCTGTCCTCAGCATTGGTAAGGCAACACCTCAAGTGCTGTGTCCAGTTCTGGGCCCCTCAGTTCAGAAAGGCCATTGAGGTGCTGGAACAGGTCCAGAGAAGGGCAGTGAACATGGTGAAGGGTGTGGAGCACAAGTCCTGTAAGGTGCAGCAGAGGGAGCTGGGGTGTTCAGCCTGGAGAATAGAAGGATCAGGGGAGGCCTTGTCACTCTCTACAGCTCTCTAGAAGGAGGGTGTTCCCAGGTGGGGGTCAGTCTCTTCTCACAGGCACCCAGTGACAGGATGAGAGGGCACAGCCTTAAGCTGTGCCAGGAAATGTTTAGGTTGGACATAAGGAACAATTTCTTCACAGAAAGGGTGGCTGGGCATGGGAATGGGCTGCCCAGAGAGGTGGCGGGGTCACCATCCCTGGAGATGTTTAAGGAAAGGCTGCATGTGGTGCTCAGTGCCACGGTCAGTTGACAAGGTGGTGTTAGGTCATAGGTTGGGCTAGACGATCTCAAAGGTCTTTTCCAACCCCACTGATTCTGTGATAACACAACATGCTCAAGAAATTTCTAATTGGATCTTGACTTGAGCAGCTGGGGGAGAAACCACGCATTTATTGTACCTTGCACAAAATTCTGTAGCAGGGGAATGTACTTGAACATTTAGGCTAACTATTAAGATGAGGTAAAATATAATTTAAAGAGGCAGAAAGCCTAAAAAACCCCAACACGCTCTTCTATTTTATTTTATTTTTCTTTCTTTGCAGCAGAAAATGAAACACATTTTGCCATCAATTCCTAGTTTGTGATTCTTAGGGTAAAATGGGAATCTCTAATGGAGATTTTTGGGTCAGGTGGCACATTAAGCTAAAGTTGCCAGAAGTAGGTATGTTCTGGCTGTTCTCAGGAAGCAGATGGTTCCGTGAGATTCACTGCCAGCTGGCATGGACTAGCTTAGCTGGCATGAACTAACTGAGGGCTAATGCTAAACAGACAAGCAGGGAATTGCAACCAGTTCCTACAGACTGCTTCTACTCTGTCACCACCAGTATACGATAGAGGCAGCATAAAATCTGCTTATTTTAAAGAGAGAGAGAAATTATGTCCATAATTTATATATCTGCAATTCTAGTCTCAGATATCATATAAGAAATTAATGCATTTTCAGACATTCTGGTGATTACAGAGTCAGAGGCCGTGAGACATCTGACCCCTACTTAAAAGGCAGTTTAAAGAGGCAGACAGGCTCCAAGCAGAACTTGCAAAACTCTCTGTGGGCCTAATTCACATTCTTTTGTGGTGCAGGTCCACTTTCAGTCCACTACTTTGGAAAACAAAGAAGATTTTTTAAGATACAAAAATAATAATGATAAAGTAATAAAAATAGTAAATATGGGTTTGTAGAAAATATGCCATATACAAAACTATTCCTGCCTCCTGCCGACGTAATAGAACAACCATGGGTACAATTGCTACATGACACTTCCAGATACAAATAAAGAAGATATGTTCTGGCTGGAAATATCACAAAACACTTGAAAAAAGTTCTTAGAGAGCTACTGCCAGTGACACAATGTCAATTCATAAGGGATTCTCCGAAGATCTCCCAGGTATCTGTGCTAGACACTGTTTTCTAGCAAGTTTCATTACCAATTCGAGACATGAAACAATAGGAAAAAAATGCATCAAGTATTCTGAAGACATAAGGCTAGGAGAAAAGGTATTTGAAATTTAGAATGACTTTTACAAGTTGACAAATTTGTCCAAAAGCAATTGGATTTATTCCAATAGAGACAAGTGAAAAATGCTACACTTGACAGGGCAAAATCAAATACGTAAATACAAAATATCAGGATGTGGCTGCAGCCGCCACTGTACAAAAAGATGCAATAACTGCTGCAAAATACAAACTGACTGTGAATCAACAATACAGTGCTGACATAAAAACGACTTAATTTTGAAATGTGCTAATAGGAATGTTGCATATATAGCATAAGGTAAAGATACAAATTAGAAGTAATTGCTAGAGGAGTTAGCACCCAGTTTCAGGATCTCATTAAAAAAACCCCATGCAAACAAAAAATGTAACAAAAAAAGAGGCAAAATAAAAACAACAAGAAAAAAGTGCTAGATTAATTGGAAAGATTGAAAAAAAGTAAAAAAAATTGAAAATGGGTATAGAAAATGCAAAATGGAAAATAGGATTGCCTGGCTTAGGAAAGACCAGAAATGCAGAGGATAAGAGTTTTTAAACTGCATAAAGACATATATATATACATATATATATGTATATATATATGTATGTATAACGTAGTCTATGATTATCTTAGTCCACAGCAGATATAGTAATATATTCAATCAGAAATTAGGAAAATGTAGGTCAGATATTTACAAAAAAAACATTTCTATTTGTATGACACAGTACCAGAAACAACTAAAGGGGAATGGAACCTGTTCTTCAGATGGCTTTAAGAATAGGTTATCATCCAAAATTTCTGCATGACATTTGTATATTTCAAGCATGCTGAGATGATAAGTATATTAAAAGATTATAAGGCAATGAGACCTGGATCCAAAAGCATTTAGTTCTTAAACTGAGGTTTCCTAATTTTCATTGATATAGTCACCAGTTAAAATATACATGCAGACTTTATTAAAAACCCATTACACCTAATTATAAATAAATTACATATACTAAATACACTAAAATAAATAGAAGGTCCTGAACAGATAAATGGGAGAGATTAACAATACTATTATGAAAGAATAGCAATCTACTACAGATATGTTCAGAGTTCTACCTGAATTTTTAAACATGTTAACACAGTACTAACATTAACTACCTAAAATGGTAGAAACATTGTATTATGAGGTAAAAAAGAGAAAAAAGTGCTAATTTCTTGATTTTCCAAAGATAAGAAACAAATTAAAAGACAGAAATATGGAATCTAGTTCTTATTTTGCAAGAAAGAATCCTGGCATAAATCAGCAGCTTTCTCTTAAAGGCGTGTCTGTGCTGTGCAAGGGCGCGTGGTGCAAAGCCACTCACCCAACTCCAGAAGGAACAACAAAGCTACATTTATGTGCTCTGGCAGGATTCTTGGGCTAGCTGATGTTCAGATGTGGGCTCATGAGACTGGGCACTATCTTGCACTAACCTAGCTGTTACATTTCAGATCCCATGTTAAGGCTGTCACACTATTTCAGGAGGCTTGAAGCTAGCACGAAAATTTCTGGTTTATGCTGCAACATGATTTTACTCTAAAAGTCATATTTAATGAAAGAAAAAGATATTTTGCTACCCAATATAATGTTATGAATGTTAAATTATATAACGACTGTGCTTTTATTTACTAGAGAAAAATGAGTGCTTTTATATTTCTTGGCCATATTACACACTTTTAAAGGCAAGGGAAAGATACAGATGTTCTCAAATCTATTTAAATCAATACCAGAAAATCAATTCAGTAGATGATATAATTAATTCTTACTTTTGTCTTCGATGTATTCATCCCAGTTAAATGTTGTCATTGTTGCATTAATAAATGTACCATTTTCACCTATAGAGCTATTAAAGATGGAAATAACAGTTGTTTCAAAAGTAGAATTGTCTGGAGGCCACTGCAGGCATTTATTCCTCAGGTTGCCCATGAACAGCTGCAGCCCTATCAGTGCAAATACACTCAGACAAAACACAGTCAGGATCATCACATCCGAGAGCTTCTTCACAGACTGAATCAGGGCTCCTACTATAGTCTTCAAGCCTGCAAAAAGAAAAGATTTTTATTATGATGCTAAATAGATACTAAACACACACAAAAAAATCATGTGGCTTTTTTCTTGATAAAGATATCATGCAAAAAGACTAGTAATTTGTGACACAATAATTTTAAAGAAAAGCCTTATTATTTGGAAAGATGAATGAGAATATGTAAGTTTATACTTATTTTATAGTGTAAAAAAATAAAAAGTAGATAATACCAAACACATTGTTTATGCCAAAACAAGTGATTTTTTTATTATTCATGCTATATCTCAACCCTACATAAAATAGCATTGTTTACTTTTGCTGATGCTTCTTGCCCAAACCTTTATTTTATGAACTTTTGCAATGTATTCTATATTAATGTAACCCCATTGTAAAGATATTATATGTGCACATCGAAATAGTATCATAATAATCTTGTTAAAATATATGAGGGGTGATGGTTTGGAGAAGAAAGACATCTTTAGAACAATACCCCATGCATGGCCCATGCTATCCTTTAGAGTTTTTGGTTTGTTTTTTTTTTTTTTACATAACTTAAAACTGAATTAAGTTGCTATATCAAGTGCCTGCAATAAATGAGAAAATTTGCATCAATATGAAAGCTTAAAATTAACTTATATTTAAAACATGTAAAGGAAAGCTTGATGTCATAAGATGCAAATCAGATAGGCTGTTTACTGCAAATATCTCATGCAAGAATTTGTTAAACTCAAAGGCTGATTTTTTTTTTTTTTAAAGGTATAAATTCCAGTGAATGTGTATCTGAGGAAAATATGCAAGACAGAGTTTATACATCACGTTATTTTTGCAGTTTATGCTCTCTAATTGTTTTATTCTCATTTTGTTTTCTCATTAGGATTTAAACACTGATAACCCACATCTTAAATTCAGCTTCTACATTCTATGCAATAAGACAGATGCAAAATTCCCCGTTACTTAATTGGTGCATGTTTATGACCAGTCTGAATTCATGTTATAACAAACGACACACATGTATTATGTTAGGACTTTAGAAGTTACTTTCAGGCTAAAAAATCCTTTCTTCAATGTTATTTTTATGCTGAAATGTTGCTTAGTCCCAAGAGTTGGCAAGCGCCAACCCTCATCTGTCTTCATTGCTCTGTAACTGTGTTATGGAGTAGGTATATCCAGTACTTCACCTTCAGCAAGACAGATGTAGTACAGGAATCAAACAAGTGCAAGAACAACCAAAATTATACATGAATGCCAATTAAATTCTGACTAAAAATGTAGTTGAAATGTAAATTGAAAAGATATTTAATTCTGGCATTCTGATTTCAATCTTCTGTGTCCAAGTGATGTCATCCTGAAATTTAGTTTAATTTAATGATATGAAAGTTTTCCATTCAATTACTAAGAAATTTATTTCCTGAAGAACTTTACTACTTTACTCCACAAATGAGGACATCCATTGTAACTCTGAATGGCACAATATACAGACATGAAGAAATATTCAAGCAATGAATCTTCATCATAAATATTTACTACATGCTAAATATTCTGAATACATAGAGGCTTACACTGAAGCCTTTACACACATTCTCAAAATGACAATGTCCTCGTTGCCTTAATAGCCCTACGGTTTCATTTTTGATTTCTGCAGATTAAACAGGTATGGATCAGCCCAAGCAGTAAGGAATGCAGAAGCAGCAGCAAGGAAGCACCAAGAACAGCGTTTCACACTGTGGCCTGCAGCTTTGGAACTGTCACTGTGTGTTGACACCTTGCAGCTATTTGCACCAATTAGCCAAGCAGTCATCATATTGCACCAATGATTAGCTAACCATTTCAATACTTTTTTAACAGCTTATTTTGCATAAAAGTTTTCCACTGTTATATTGGTTTTAGTAAGAGAAAGATGCACTGTGATCAACACAGCCATCCATGAGATCATTCATTTATCTGTAACGTTTATTGCAACAGAGATGAAAGACTGCATTTCCCTGCATTCTTGCACAGATGTGACATAGAAGTCAGTCAAAAATATTTATAATCCACTTTTTCTGTATGATCATAAGAATAGCTTTTCTTACATTTTCCATGTAGTACTGCAAACAGAGGAAGGACATTAAAGAACTTGTGATTACACAATTATATGCATTTAATGTTACAGCAAAGGAAATAGCATCCGAATAGCTGTTGATAGGATGTCCCAACAAGGTAGCTGCTGCCAGTGGAAGCCACCCTAATATAATTTACAGTAGTTTATTTCTGATTATTGGATATTATTCAGAAAAAATCCATTTAACTTACTCTACATTCTTTGTCCAGTCTGGAGGGTTACTCATGGTCATAAATACGCAGTTGGTCAAAATAGTGCACATGATAAGCATGCTGAATAACGTAGGCAAAGAGTTAAGGAATGTAAGCCAGAAAATTTCATAACAAGATTATCAAATAACACACTGCTTTGGTAGATTTTCACTATCAGGAGCTATCTATCCCTCTATTGCTCTTTTAATAGGCAGTGAGAAGGCCTGAATATGTTAAAGCTTTCATTCCCTGCTTTATAGCTACAAGAGAACAATCATATGCTAAAAATTAGAAAACCTGAAAGGTATTTTAAAAAGCACCACAAATCTGGAATATTTTTTCTTATTGAACAAAAATGTCAATCTTTGAAGTATTAGCTTCTAACTTCATATAATACACAATATTATAACACAATAATAACACAAAAATATTGAATAACACAAAAAGTGTTTCTTTTAGATGATCCAGACAAATCTGATCTGCTTCACGCATGCAAAGCAATGAAAAATACATTTTCTTCACTTCAGTGTTTTGTCATAAAATTAGGCATGTATCAACATTTTTCCTTATCACTATGATACACTGAAAGCTAGCTGCCACATAGTAGGAGAGAACATGGGGAAATCTTAGTGAGAAAAGTGTTTTATGGCTGTTTGTTTTATATATGACTTTTGTAATATAAATGCTGTTGAGGGGAAGGCACATGTGATTCTCAAAAAAAAAGATCCAAATAGAATTCCAGAAAAGGTTCAAGTCACTCTAAATCTACAGCCTTTTACTCTCAGAACTGCTGACATTCTTCTAAGATACAAAAAAAAAATGCACCCATCAAAATGAAAACCATGCAGATGAACCACGAAACGCCCACATGATGGCACCAACACCTAAAGCTACAGAGAGGACAAAGCTCGAGTTTGAGAACAGCTGCAGGTTCATGTGGTGCTCCTAAATAGAAATCCAAATACAATGGGGTGAGAAGTACTGTGAGGTTCCCCTCCAAAACTTTTCTTTGTATGTCTACGCTAATTAAAAAACCCTTCAAGTGATAATGATACCTCTACCTTCTGAGCTGTCAAAAAACTGTGACATTACATTCAACAATCCTTTGGGTTTTCTGCACAATGAATATATTTAAAATTCTTAACTGAGAACCTAGCTTCTCTTTATGTAATGAACACATATGAACAGAGCAAAAGAGAAATAAATATATGTTTTTTTAAATATTAAAAACCCATGCTACAAGTGTTTCACCAGCCTGTACTTTACATAGGCTTTCAAAATCCTTTTTGATGAAATGTCCACTTAGAGTTGCAGACCCTCACTATGCTTTCATTGGTGGAAAAATAACTATAATATACCATAAATTTAAAAAACGTGGTTTAGCATTCTGACTTTGGTGACTAGTTCTTCACCACCACCTCAGACCCACAATCTTCTATTATTTCCCATAAGTCAATATAATAATGCTTCAGAATATGGGAAAAAGTGTCATACTACTGAAAAATAATAATTTCTAGTGGCACCTGTTGCAAGAAAATTGACAACAGGCTATGCAGTATCATGATTGTTTTGGAAGTCATTCGTAGGCTAGCCATTGATAACAATGTCTAACACATACCAACCACTGTAATTATCAGTCTTCCAGTACACCAAGACTGAAAAAAGTCCTTTCAAGATTTAGTCTACATAATCTCAGGATCTCTGTACACAATGCTAACACAAAGTTACTTTCAGTGTGCTTATATTAGACTTCTGTAAATACAAGTGTGTAAACATTTGTATTTTTTGCTTATTAAGTAAGCTGGCTTTCTGAAGTCAATGACCTCATTGCTCATATTGGTATTTGGGATCAGACCAGTGGGATGCCTACTATAGTCTGCTATTAAAACACCGAAAAAGACAAAATAATAGTTAAGTAATTATAATAATTTAGCTTTTCAAATCTCTACCTGCAATGTGGAAATCTCATGACCTTCTTGAAGACTGAAATTAAAACATCAATAGGTTTACAAGTGTATAATGCAATAATGATCATGAAATAAAACAGAGAGGTGGGATACATACAAGACTGAGAATGTATAACAAAACAAGAAATCTAAGCTGTGTTATGAATCTATCTTTCTGTTAGGGTTATCTGAATCAGAAAATGAAAAGGAATAATGAAACCATATTTTCACTAAATACTCATGTAAGCACAGACCTGGGATCAAAGATTTGATTTTAATACACAGTGTCAGGGAAGAACTGAAAGTATTCTGAGCAATATATCTGCAGTTTATGAAAAATGTGGAGGAGGAAAGATGAAAAAAAGATGTGAAGATTACAGAAAAAAAATAAGAGGGAAGGAAAAATTATGTGGGTGAAGAAAGAAGATACAGAAATTGTAAAGGACGATGACTGGTTGTCTGGCTTTTGGTATTACTATATTAGGATCCAGCAATGAACAGAAATGAAAAAGGAGAATGAGAAAAAGATCAGAAGACAGAAATAGTAGAGAGAAGAGGGACAAAGCACTACCGATCACATTGATCCTGGGACATGTGCCAGAGAATGATTTAAATACTAAGTAACATCTCATTCATTACAGTTTCAGACTAACCACTTGAAAAGGATATGAATGTACCAAAATCTTAATAGCTATTTTTCTAAGAGGATTGAAAGGAGTTAACATGTACAGGGCAGAGGTGGCACTGAATCGGAATATTGCCTTTCCTTTATTTAATACTATAAAGGTCTGGAAAAAGAAAAAGAGAATGAAAAACAGCATTTAGAAGACACCAAGTTACAAACCCTGAATAATTTTCATTTCATCATTAATCATATTTGGTCAATATGCTCTTTTTGCATTGACACAATCCCCTTGTCCAGTTCACACATTGTAGCATCCAGCCAAATTACTATAAATACAATTAAATGAACATTTAAGTGCATCTATAAAGAAATCATAAGTAATCCTGATATTTCTAGCTAGTAAACAGAGACAAGTATGAAAGTAAGGTAGGCAATATTTGAAGAACTAGCATACTTTTTGTGCGGTATAACATATAACTGAGGTCTGTAACTGCAACCAAAATGAGAGCCATTAAAACTTCAATCCCCAAATCAAATAACCAGCATAAATTATCAAATCAAAGTACTAAGACAAAAGTAACTCAAAGTGATCCAAGTTTCAAGTGATCATGGAAATATGGAAATCAAGAGGTTTCGACAACCATTTTTGAACATAACACTAATGTACTCAATTTTTTGCTGTACTCAGAGTAATGTATTAGTCCCCTTTTCAGCTATTGCTTGTGATAGTTCTGTACCTGCAAGTCTATTTTCCTTGTTGTACTTTACTTTCACCTAATACAGAATTCATTCCATTCACTGTATCCAGCTATTTTCACTCTCTCCACATTTTCAGCAATTGCTCATTTTAAAAAAAGCATTTTTAAATGTAACAGTGCTTTTAAAATCCAAGCAATAAAGAACAAAGCCTGTAAGGGTTTTTTAAAAAAAATTATGTTGAGTCCCACACATCTGGGGAAAGTCCAGTCTATTTCCACAATTTCTTCTTTCTACACATGGGTGACTTTCGTAATTTTGAAAGAAAAAGGATCTAGATAGCATTGTGGCAGTCTAGGAAGCCCAAAGGGCACATAAGCCATGCAGACCTGGAATACTGCCAGCAGCCATGATCTAACTCAACTGAAATCAGAGGGCAGCATTTGTCAAGATTATGCTCTACTTTCTGAGCAGGTGTGGCAAATAAGAGCAGCTGAAACCACAGCCTCTCCCTGCCTGAAATAATAAATTATAAATTATAAAAATCAGTGGTTCCAAACTTAACATGTTTGCATTCTCCCATACTTAGAGATTCTCAAGCTGTACTTTGATCTTTTATTGTACAGGAGTCTGTAACATGTTCTTTACTATGAAGATTTTTCAACTCTCTTACTATTGGTCCTGGAGTTAATGAAAACAGGACTTCTAATAATCAGTTTCTTATGTTTTCTTTTCCCTTTACTTTGACAAAACCTCTCATGAAGTAGCATTTGTGTTATGCTGACTCATCAAGTTAGGCTAAAAAATGAAAATGGAGCCTGACCCAAAAAATTATGTTCAAAAATATGCAAAGAATGCTAAGAAAAACAATAGGAGAAATTCATAAAGCTTGAAGTCTTGCTTCTCCTACTGGAAACCACAATGCTTTTGGAAAAAGATCATGGCAACTGCTATACATTTCTCAATCAGGAACGAGCAATTCAGCAGGATTTTACTTCACATCCACACTTAATTGCAGAATTACTCTTCTAGTTTCCAAAGCATGATGATGCATGCTCTAACTTTAGGATTTCTGGCATTGAATTTAGATTTTTACTACTACAGAATGTGAAAAGAATTAAGGAAAGGAATTGTTACTTTGACCCAAATTCTATTTGCCTTCCAGACTTCAACAGGGTAAATCACTTGACTAAAGGGAGCAAAACATGATAATTAATTGAAAACCTTGTTTTCAGATTTAACTCATTATTCTCTTTACAGGAATTCTGTTTTAGAAATCCTGCAATGAACACTTTAAGCACTATTGATTTTTTTTAGCTATTCTGCTTAGTTATTCATGGTATGCCTATATTGCTATTATTTCAACATATTACTGATGAGGCATACCCCTAATTCCTGCAGGAAATATCTTCATTTGCATTTTTTCTCTTAGTCTGAGTTTGAATCATAACAATTCTTGGAATCTTTCTTCATTTTTCTTTGAAGCAGTTTCTTCACTTTCATGGGTTTTGGTTTTTTAATTCACTTGTTTTTGTTAGCTAGCTAGTTTCCACAGGAAAGAAAAAAAAGCAGGAGAAAAAAATTATGAAAACAAGGTAAAAAAATAATTTCTTCTTTACTAGTAGAATAATGAGACTGCAATACATATGATGCCAAAATCAAAGGGACTGAAAATCTGGAGGAAACCCAAGGCCATCTGGACACTAGTCTAAAGTTCAACACTTTTGTGCTGGCCACAGCAGTTGTTGTTACTTTAAATCAAAGCAAATATGTGGATTGTTTGGAGGTTTTTTTTAAGTAACATCTCCATAAAAATAATTTTTTAATTATGTAACATTCTGTCAACACTCCAAGTGCAATTGCTACCTCCGCTTTATTTAAGTCCCTCTTTTGAATACCTCCTCTTTGAAAACAATCCTAGTACAAAATAGAACTGGATAAGAAAATTTTTTCACCCAGACTAAGTTGGATATATGATGCCTCTACAGAGTAAATATGGATCAGGATGATCATCATATCCTGAGAAATTACCTTTACATACTTCCCTATCCTTCCCAGTGAAAAGAGAATGCAACCTAAACTTTTCACAGCAGTGAAGAAATCTAGTAAGAGGATGTGTAGCTACCTTTGAGGTGGATTTCATATTGGAGACCTGCTCCTTTCACAACTACAAGACAGCAATTAGTAATTATTCTAAAGATAAACCCTGTGCTGCTACTTCAATTGTCCTGTGTGCAAAACACTGAAAGTTACAGGTTTTAATAAAATGCCAGGTTTATTAAAAAAATAAGTGCATCTCTACTTGTCTATAAGGTCCCACAAGCATTACTAATTTCTGCTCTTAGAGTGGAGACTTCTGCCAATCACATCAGCTGTTGATGGAATTATTATATGGAAGCTCTAGATCAAAAACAATAGAAATACTATGCCTTTGAAGGGTTGTTTGTTATTTATTTTTCTTAAAGTCTGATGGAAATACTTTTACACTCACTTTTTTATTGATATAATATGGGTCCAGGTCTTCCAAGGGCTCGGACACCATTCCTGGAGGTATGTCGCCGTAAATAAATGGCAGGGTCTTTCCTGCCTCCAAGTCACTGTTTGGCTTTGGGCCATCTTCATCATCATCATCTTTGCGCTCTTGTTTGGATTTTTTAGCTTTCTCTTCATTGATACGCTGTTCAATAGCTGCAAGGGATTCTCTTGTGAAGTAGCGGAAGCTGTCAGGTCCTGGTGGTACCAGCACTGATTGTGCCATCTTTTCATCCTGCACCTCTTAATTACTGTTTAGCCTCTCTCATAAAAAAAGTGCTAAAATAAAAAAAAACACACACACACAGAAAAAATTTAGAACAACACAGCTACCAACAATGTAAAGTAATATATCATCACAGAATTTTGTGGGGGACAAAATGTTAAATGTAGGAATTATCATCCAAGAGGAGGCTGCCGTGAAATGAATTTTTAAATTTGTTTTTATTTCAAGACAAGTCATTTTCCTTTGCAGCTTGCCTCTTAGATAGTCTCAGAGGTATCAATTCTTAAAGCATTTAGTTTAAAATTCATTTAGTGCTTGCACCAATAGATTGTCAATTCTACAGGCTGATAAAAAAATCACATACAATACAATAACATATTTTGCCTTTATCAAGAGTAATGTTATCCATTCCTATGAATAGAGTAGGAGATATTTTCCACTACATTCAGTGTTAGGAATCAACAGTTCTGAAGTATTTGGTTCAGTATTGAGTGAGACTCCAGACAATGTAGCTCCTTATTACCCTGAAAGCTGCATCTTGGATCAGTCCTCCCTCCTATATGGACCAGAAATGACTCTTAGAATCCACTATTGCCATGTAGGGCCAGAAGGATCAGTTGAAAGCAATATAAATGCTCCTTCTCTTCGAGTACAAATCTGCTGCCTTTGCCGAACTGCCAGCTCAGGAAACAAGGTTCAGGCATCAGCACCTGTATTCAGATCCCCTGCCTGGCAACACACTGTGCACTGGAAGAATTGCTGAATTAAACAAAACCGATTTTTAATCATTACAACCTGCACTTAGATCTTTTATGTCTGAGATCATATCAATTGTGTATATATTTCATAAATTTCACCAAGAGCAGGACCATCTCTTCTTAATGTCTCCAGGCAGTTCAGTTAAAAAGAACAGTGGAAAATATTCCCAATGCAAATACTTTGATCTGAAATTGCAAACAGGCTATCTGCTGTAGCCTACAAGAATTTTTCTCAAGCATCCTTCTGAGTAAGCACATTAAAAATACAGCAAATGCAATAAAATAACAAATTCTGAGTAAGACAATATACCCAGAAACAATAATCAGATTAAAATTATACAAAAGTTTGAATACAATCAGCCTGATCCTATTTTACCGTCTCACTTAGCACACATACTCCGGTACACACAGTCGCAACAAATATTTTTGAAGGCTGTTAAATAAGCTGCAACATGATGCTTTCTCCTCCTTTTCAACCATATGCACACAGCCACTTACACCTACACAATCCACACACATCCCAACTCCTGCAGGTCTCCCTGTGAGCATGCTCTTCCACTGCAGGCAAATGCACCTGGTGCATTCTGTCATGTACAGTCTGTACCAAACTGCTGCTGGGAGCTGCACTGACTACCAGCAGCAGAAAGGTTCATTAGGAAAATGAAAATGGTCCTACAGCAGAATCCTGTTAGATTTTATTTCTAATTACGGAAGGAAAAAAAAAAAGAAAAAGAAAAAGCATAATTCTGTTTTAATACTGCAGGAAACAATTAAAAATTCATTACCAGTGAAGAATCTTGCAGTTATGTGGGTTTGGAATGGCACCAGGGAAGACTGCAGTTAAAATTCCATCATGCCTTATCCTTTTTTTTTTTTTTTCCTTTCTTCTTCTATTTTTTTTAAATTCTCCTTTTACAGACCACACCTAACTTCCTGCTGAAGGATCCTGGTTATTGAAGTAAAGTCTGGCATTTCCTGTGTGAGCCTACTAAGTGCTGTAACTCTTATTGCCAGTAGATGGTACTGATATATACTCATAAATTCTTCTCAGAAATGGTAAAGAATTTTTGCATGCTTGAACACTTCCTTAAACTGAGACTCTTGGATTAAAATATATGATTTTATATAACCAGTCAAGTCTCAAGATTCTCAAAAATTCTTTTGAATACATAGCAGCTACTGATGTGACCATAGCTGTTAAAACTGTGAAGGTGAGAAAGAAAGAAAGAAAGAAAGAAAGAAAGTAGGAGGGATAGCAAAGTAAGAGAAATCAAAAAATGGAGGTTACACAGACAGAGTACAACCTAAGCAATTGCTGAAACTGTGTTACCAGCAGTCTGGATTATTTTAAACTACAGGTTGTGTAAATGTTCTAAAATAAATGCATACAATATGTTCACTGTGCATTCTTTCTAAATGTGGATTGTCCAGCAAAGGGAGGGAAGGAGGGCACTTCTGAGTGTTCACTGCAGCAGCAAGTTCCTATACAGAATCCATCTATTCTTGCTCCCTGCTGCAGCAGGTGGTTGGGAGCACTGTAAGCCACCCTCTGTAGCAAATCAGTAAAACACCTCCTTGGGGCCCCACTCCACCAAAACACCATCCTACTTCTTTCCACTCTTCTGCTTGCTCTGTATTTTCCATGCTTACCAATTTTCATACTTTTTCCTCCTGCTGCACCAATAAAACTTTTTTATCTCTCTCCTACCTTCCATTCAACCTTCTGCCCTTCCATTCTTCTTTCACACAAACACAAATCTCTTCCAAACTTTTCAAGCAAGACACATTGCTGTATCTGTACGTTCAGATCTTCCGGCAGTCATTTACTCTCTGCCGTCTCCTTTCCTTCAACCACGAAGAGGATACAAAAAAAAAAAGGTATGGAAAGTAGTAAAAAGCAAAAGGTCAATCTAAAGTGAGAGACATTGGAGAAGGAATTAATGGAGTGGCTGAAGAAACGTCCCTGTGGTTTTGAAAAACAGACAGTGAAGAGAGGGGAAAATATTGATAATTTTGTCCTTTTGTAATTGTGGTGAGATAATGAAGAGTTTGACTTGGTCAAAATAAGTTTTTGAAATTTTCAGCAACTAAGACAAGATGTGCCAAATGAGAATTATAATTGAACCACATCAAAAGTATCAATTTGGGTTTGATTCATTTAAACATTACACAATATTTTAAAATAATGTTAAAAGCCTTTTTAGAAAAGTGTTTAATTCAATAGGGTTTTCTATTTTCACAGATTATTCAAAGAAAAAGAAAATCAAGAATAAGTTTGCAAATAATTCCATGTAACCAATTTTTTTTGGTTAAAAAGCTTTGGATGAAAACTTCTGGCTGGCTCTAATTAGGACTACAGTTTACTTGGGGCTGTTCTGAAGTCTCAGAATAAGAGGACTGTGAAGCAGCACAGATCCACAGGAGGAGTAGAGGAGCTTCTAACTACAAGAGCATTTTGATTATTTATTTTCATGGATAGGCAACAGCTTATGTACAAATGTTACAGTAAACCAAGTACCTGAAAAGCTGGGCTAATTCACGCAATATGGGAAAGGCACCTCATTCTTCCATTAACAGTATATTAAATGAAAGCATCTGATTATTTGTTTCTTATTGTAAGAGTCTGAAATTACCAGAGATCTCATTTTGATTTCCACCAGTGATACACAGTGTGAGGAAGGACAGCGAAAAGAGAAGACAAAAAGGAAATAGCCACAGGACATTGCATCCCATTGCCTTAGAGGTTTGGGTCTACAGTCTTACTAGGAGGCTGTAAGGAAAAATGAACAAGTATTTTGGAGAGACAGATTACACAGGAAATGCAATATCAGCTTTGCAGTCTAAAAGAAAAAAATATATATTTCTAAAAAGGAGACAACAGCAATTAATACATCTAGAGAAGCTTGTAACAATCCTTAAAATATATTAGATACTACACATAGCTATAGTAAATCTAACAGATAAAATTATTAGAGATAGAAAGGGAAAATTATTAAATCATAGCAAATATCAATGAAAACCCAATTCAACATAGCCTATGTTTAAGAATTATTGTGTGAACATGGTAAAAAACTTGCCTAAAACATAAACATGAAATAAGAATAGCAATTCTGGTAATAAGTCATTCCAACTGCTGTCTAGCTTCCCACCTACAGCCATGGGTACATTTTATGAACAATTTTATCACTGACGGTATCCATCTTCCCTCTACTGTGGCATGTGTGAAAGCTTGAAATGGACCTTGTCATTTACTCATCTGGTAAAACACAAGGCCCACAGAGAGGGTAGAGATGAAGAAGTGTTCAGTGTCATACGTAAAGAAACTCCACATGAGGGTGAATGATTTTTGACAGGACAGAGCCAGGAGAAACCTCCAAATCTTTTCCTGACATCCTAAGAACCTTCATTTACAGACAATCCTGATTAATAAAATTAGAAAGAAAATAGATTACCAGTTTTTCCTCAGAAATGTGTAAAAAACTGTCTTTGTTCAATGGCAAAGCATTAAAATGCACAACTGGCAACTGGCCATCATTCTCTGTGGTTCTGTGATCGTTTTACTCTCCAGCTGTGTGTCCCTGTACTATATTAGATTGTCCCTAATTGCATGACTTTTCATTTATAGTTCTGAATTTCATCTTGTTCCACTAACAGCAGTCATCAAGCTCATCTAGTCCTTTCTGTATAATAGCTTGCTCAGTCTTTGACAACGCCTTACAACTTTGTGATATGAGCAAATTGCATTGGCATATTTCCATTTCTTTGCTGAAACAATAAATTAAATAAAATCTGTCCCAAAATTAAAACAGTGGCAAGCAACTTTGACCAAAGTGTAGGTTACTGTGAAAATTCCTGTAGTTTGCAAAACATGTTAATACTACACTAAGACCTTTAATCTTAAACAACCCAATACCATTAATTGTATGCTCTAAAGTAAAACAATATTTTAATTGAAAGAGCAAAAGAGACCTAAGCAGAGCTTTTTCTCCTTGTAAATAGTATCCATACATTGAATTTAAATAATTTCTGTCACCTCTTTCCCCCACGATAGTTAAAATTCTTACTACACTACTGAATTAATCATGATGATCTAGGTGACAGAAAAACATGTTTACTAGCTTTGAGATGACATGACACTGGGAGGGCTACAAGTAAGCTGGGAGGATATTATTAGGCTTTAAAATGTCCTGACAAGCAACAAAATGGGCTCAAAACGTGCTGCAATTGAAGAAATAGAAGTTCTACATTTTATACTTCGACAATATGGAAAGAATTCAGACCACAGAAATAAAACA